TGTTCTCGCTGCTGCACTGAGCTAATGGAGGGGCTGCCCGGGCTCCCCTCCCTCCTCCCCCCCCTCGCCGCCGCCTTTTCAGTCCTTCGGCAGCGAAAAACACAAAAAACACAACAAAACACAAACACAAACACACAAAAAAAAAAAAAAAAAAAAAGCCCCTTTCACAGTCCCTTAAAAACACACCTCATTGTTCCCGCCCGGGGCTGCATTGAAATGCCACTCGCACCCCACGTCTCTCCCGAGCAGAGCCGGCCCCGGGGCCACGCGTGTGCAAGCCCGGGGGTGGCTGTGGGAGCACGCGTGGACCCCTCCTGGCTTTGCACGGGGGGGGGGGTTTAGCCCTAAAGTCCGCCCTGGAAGGGGTGTCGGGGAGGATCGTGGTGAGCTGAGGTGGTTTTCGGTGCCCCGGGCAGTGCCCTCGGCCTGGACAGCCCACCCTCGTTTCGCTCTGGGATCTCCACGCTTCGATTTTGGTGTAAGAAGTGAGGGAAAACAGGAAGGAGGTAAAAAGTACCAGTGGCTGTCGCTGTTTTGCGAAGCCAGAGCGGAGGGGACGCGGGGCTGGTGGCTGTGCCCCCCTCCACCACCCAGCCGTGGAGGCCCCAAACACACCATCACTCCTCTCATGCCCACGTTTCACAACCAGCTTTTAGTGCTCCTGGAGCAAACATTCCACGTTAAATCCCCGCCTGCCACACGAAGGGATGGGGTTTCCCCGGGGACGGGGCGATCCGGGCGCGTCACACCTCGATCCCCCCCAACACCGAGCCCGTGATCTGCCCAGAAATCCCCTCCACGCTCCGCACAAATCCGAGATTTCCAACAAACAATAAACAGCCGCGCGAGGATCAGCCCTCGCCTGGTTTCCCAGGGAATTAGGGCAGAGAAAGTCGGGGCTGGGAGCTCCGGGGACGGCGGAGCCGGGGGGTCTCTCCTCGGAGCTGGGGGAAGCGGCACAGCCCCCATTCCCAGCACCTTCCCCATTCCCAGCACCTTCCCCATTCCCAGCACCTTCCCCATTCCCAGCACCTTCCCTGTTCCCAGCACCTTCCCCATTCCCAGCACCTTCCCCATTCCCAGCACCTTCCCCCATTCCCAGCACCTTCCCCCATTCCCAACACCTTCCCCATTCCCAGCACCTTCCCCGTTCCCAGCACCTTCCCCATTCTCAACACCTTCCCTGTTCCCAGCACCTTCCCCATTCCCAGCACCTTCCCCATTCCCAGCACCTTCCCTGTTCCCAGCACCTTCCCCATTCCCAGCACCTTCCCCCATTCCCAGCACCTTCGCTGTTCCCAGCACCTTCCCCATTCCCAACACCTTCCCCATTCCCAGCACCTTCCCCGTTCCCAGCACCTTCCCCATTCCCAGCACCTTCCCCGTTCCCAGCACCTTCCCCATTCCCAACACCTTCCCCATTCCCAGCACCTTCCCCATTCCCAACACCTTCCCTGTTCCCAGCACCTTCCCCATTCCCAACACCTTCCCCATTCCCAGCACCTTCCCCATTCCCAGCACCTTCCCCATTCCCAGCACCATCCCTTGTTTGCCAAGGCCCGGCCCTGGAGCAGCACCGGGATCGTGCTTTTCATTAAAAATAAATAAACACATTCCTGGTGGCGATGGAGGAGGAAAGGCTTGAAAACACCCTCCCCAAAAGGCCCCCCCTGCCCAGGAGGCAGCAGCGGTGGCAGGACCCACAATTATCATTTCCTGGGAATTTTTTGAAGCCCATCTCCCGCTCCCCTCGGCCGGGGGCAGCAGGACGGACGGACGGAGGGACGGACAGGGCCCCATCCTCAGGGCACCCCGGCTCTCTCCCCGCTGACCTTTCCCCGCTGCTCTGACGGATCCTTTGTGACACCGGCGGGGCCGTGGCACACCTTCCGTCCTTGCCGCGCGCCCGGCGCGGGGACGTGGCCACGAGCGAGTCCCTGTCAGGGGCGATTAGGGGAGAAGGGCTGCGCCGCCACCGCGCGCTTTCCGCATGAGCTCCGGTGCTGGTGCCGGGCAGGGGGGGCCCCCTCGGTCCCCCCCCCTCGCCCCCGGTGCCCGACGCACGTGCCCTGCACCGGGAAACGGGAATCTGTTCGTCGGGTCGGGATCGGCGACGTGGGGTGGGATCGGTGAGGTGGGGTTGGGGTCGGTGAGGACGGGGCTGGGATCACTGAGGATGGGGTTGGGATCAGCGAGGACAGGGTTGGGGTCGCTGAGGATGGGGTTGGGATCAGCGAGGACAGGGTTGGGGTCACTGAGGATGGGGTTGGGATTGCTGAGGATGGGGTTGGGATCAGTGAGGACGGGGTTGGGATTGCTGAGGATGGGGTTGGGATCAGTGAGGATGGGGTTGGGATCAGTGAGGTGGGGTTCGGATCAGCGAGGACGAGCTCTCTGAAGCCAACATACGTATGTGCTGATGCACACGTGTGTGTGTGACCTACATTCAGGGTTGCAGCACCGCCCACGAGTGGCTGATGCCCACAGGTGTCTGATGCCCACGGGTGGCTGATGCCCACGGTGGCCAATGCCCACACATGCCTGTGGTGAGGGGGCTCAGCCAACCCTTGTGTGCCAAAGACCCATCAGTTCCCGAGGGGTTTTCCCTGTGCCTGGAGCATTCCCGGCGTGGGGAAGGAGAAAGGAAGCTCCAACCGAGCTCGCAAAGCACTTGCTGAGCCCGGGAGGAGGGTCTGGCTTTGGCAGGGGGGACAAAGAGCGGCCACCAAGGCCACAGACACGTGGTGGGTCCCCCCCACATCCAGCACCTGCCCCCTGCCCCAGTCCAAGCACCCACCCTGCTCCCCTTGCTTTCCAATATTCCCATTTCCTCAGCTGGTTTTGACTTTTCCACCCGGCGCAGCCACGGAGTTCCCATAGAAACATGAAGATATTAAACTGTAAATAATAATTTCTCCATAAAGAGAAAAAAAAAAAGAGAGAGAGAGAGAGAGAAAGCAATGCTCCAGCACATCCTGTGGGGCTGGTGGGTCGGGAATAGACCCTGATATCCTGGGAGCAGACACCAGTGTCCTGGGAACAGACCTTGATGTCCTGGGCACGTGAGGCCTCATCTCACCCACCCCGTGTGGGTGCAGGTCCCACTCTCACCCCTCAGGAACTGAGGGAGGGCTGAGAGCTCTCACTCTGCTCCCTGCACTTCCAGCACCTGATTTATCCAGGCTGGATGAATCCTGACATCTCCATCCTGACATCTACAAAAATTAGCAGCTGAAGGGGCGGCCTGGCCTCGCCTCCCACCCCAGCTCGGGGTAAATAAACGGGAGCTCCAAACCTGCTGGGAAGGGATTGTTGTTTGCTGGGGCCTGGGCAGGGATGGTTTGTAAATAACCTAAAGTTAAACCCACCCCAGTTCTCATTCCCTCCATCCCGTGGAGATGGTTTTGTCTGGGGCATCCACGCTTCGTGTCTATCGAAGTGATAATTTTAATCATAAATTACTTGGTTTTCCCCCCACCCCTCCCTGTTATCAAGTCGGAAAATCATCAGTTTGTGGTGGGAGAAAGGAGAAATGCCAGGGCTGGGGCAGGTGGAAGGGGGCATAGGGAGCCTCTCGGTGAGGGATGGGGAGATTTGGGTTTAAAGGCTGAGAACCTGCAAACCTTCGGGCACCTGCCGTGGGTGCCGTCGGCCTGGGTGGCTCCAAACTCAATTCCCGCCACCCCTCCCCAATTAAAACCCGGATATTGTGCTGAGGGGGGTGGGCAGGCAAGGTTATTTTTAGGGTTCTGGCAGACAAGGTGCTGGTTTCCCCCCACAAGACTGGTGGCAAAGGCGGAGCAGCCTCCTGGCTCCTCTCAGCACCCCAAATCCCAGAATTCCTGCAGCTCCTTCCACCCCTCACACCAACCACGGCACAAAGGGCTCCCTCTGTCCCGACGCCGAGCCCGAGGCCGGATCCAACACCTGAGCCCCCCCAGGGCAGTGGCAGCGCCCTGGCATCCCCACAGCCAAGCCGACCACGAGCTCCCCATTCCCATCTCCACCCTGACACGGGATTTTGGGGGTTACCCCACTGCCCCCTCCTCACTCTGCTGTGCTGGCACCGGGATGCTCATCCCAGCTCCTCTCCCTGTGCCGGGAACCAGGACTGGAGAAAGCCCCAGCTCAGCCCCCACCCAGGGCTGGAAACCACCCCCTGCCCCAAAGTAGCCGTGCCGGGCACCCCGACAGCGCCCGGGATTATCCCCCGGCATGACATCCCCCGGGAACAAGATTGCAGCTTAGGGCCTAATGGAAAAGAGGAGAGAGATGGGATTAAAAGGCAAATAATGACTATTTCTCCAGCGGGGCCGGGGAAATGAGACGGGGATTAGCGGCCCCTTTGCCAGCAGCTCCCAATCCCGCCGGGCACTCCCGGATCCGGCCGGGGTGGCCGGAGGTGCCCGTGCCCAGCATCGCTCCCGAGGGGTGACATCAGGGCTGGCAGTGCCCACCCCAGAGGGGCCAGCCTGGCTGTCCCAAGCCCGATCCACCCCGAGCTCCCACCTCGTCCCTCCGCCACCTCCTCAGCCCACGAGGGAGGCGATTTCCCCGATATTTGTTGTTTTTTTCCCCCCCCCTCTCCCCTCCGGGATTCGCCGGGAGAAATTATAAAATATTCCGCGAGGGAATAAAACACTGGAAATTAAAAAACTTCACTCGCAGGGAGAGGCACGAGCCCGAGAATAAACCTGAAAGGCTCCTTTCTCTCGCCTTCGGTCGCACACGCCGTGCGGTGCCATTGGCTGCTTCCCTGGAATAGATTCCGTTGCTATGATACCAAGTTTGCTTTTAACGAACCCCAGAAAATTAATGGTATTCAGAAGATAAGTCCTTAAAGTGGAACCTATTTTAAGAAATTCCTGCTAAATGGTTTACAAGTAGTCAGGAGGGAGGGGAAGGTTTCTTGGCGCGCGGCGGAGCCTGAGCCGCTCCCCCGCCGAGTCCTGCCGGGGTGTTGGGGGGCGTGGGGGTGGTTTTTGGGGTGTGCTCCAGCCTGGGACTGTGAGAGGGGAGGGCAGGATTGGTGCCCAGCATCAGCAACCCGTGCTGGGCGCTGGGCATCCCTCCTGCTGCTCCCGGCTGTCCCCGCACGGCCTCGCTGTGCTGGAACACTTCCCCCGGCAGCCAGTGCCTTCCTCTGGTGCTTTGGAAGCCCAAACCCTGCCCTGACTCACACACAAAGCTACAGGATCCACGGCTGGGCCAGACCTTGGAGAGCCTGAGGTGGGTGAAAGGATATAAGTGGGTGCAGCACGGAAAACCCGCTCCGACGGCGTCCTGCCGTCCCTTGGAGGAGCTCAGGGCGAAGAGCCGAGGAGCCAGGGAACAGGGAACAGGTTTTCCTGCCCATCCAGCCCCGCAGGTGGCATCAGCCATCGGACAGGGCACGTTTTCCCCGGGACCAGTGTCTCTGGCAGGGAGACGAGCCGGTGTGTCCGGGTGGTGCTGCAGCAAAGGCCGTCGCCCTGCTCGGCGTCACCAGGGCCGGAGCATCCACACTCCTGTTCCCAATTCCCAGGTGGAATATCTCCCTGGGACACGGGGTGTACAGGGGATCATCTGCTCTTTATCCCACACCGTGGTGTGGGGTGTGCAGGGGGTTTATCCCACACTAGGGAGGGAGTCTGTGTCCTCCCTGCCCGGAAAAAGGCCCAGGCTGGGTGAGCCCAGGGTGTCCGTGCAGGTTGGAGGGGCAGGATCAGCACCAGGAATCACAGGGATCCGGGACAAGGAATCTGCTCCTCTGCTGCCTGAACAAAGCAAGACCTGCCGAGAGGGAGAGGGAGGAAGTTGCACCTCAAATTCCTCCCGTGCTGCAGACTCCAGACACGTCAGGTGGAAGAGGAGGTGGGACCGGGATGTGCCGGGCAGGGAGAGGTGGATGGAGAGAGGGATTGGGGCATCGGGATTTTAATTTTTGGAGCTCTTCCCCTTCTGTTTTCTCAGCACCAGCCCAGCCAGGGTGTTGATGCTCCGAAGACCCAACAGTGAGGGGAGAATGGAGGTGCCTCGGTGTCACTGCCCTGCTCTGGCCGCCCTCGTGCCGTGCCTGCATCCCGCTGGATGGTCCTGATCCTGCCATGGTTTAACAACAAGGGTGCCTGGATCTGTCTGTGGAGCCTCCCCACTTCCCAATTCCAAAAGCCCGAGAGCCCTCAGGCACGGAGGGCCCTCCCTCGCTGCCCGTTCCACAGCACCACCCGAAAACACCTTCCCTGAGCTTCCCAGGAATACCCGGGGACGGCTCAGCCTTTTGGGGTCACCCCTTAACAGCCTTTCCCCTCTCCCAGCACCAACCACGGGGCTGGATCCAGCGCTCCAGGGCCCCCACTCAGCCCCGCATCCCCGGGCACCGCCGGGAGCCAGGGGAGCAGGAGGGAGAGGGACCCAACTCCCAAACCCACAGGCGGCAAAGGAGGAGCACGGAGGCTCCAGGAGGGACCCGGGGGTGGCTGAGAGCCGAGCGCCCTCGGAGCGATGCTCCCAAATCCCTCTCTCCCAAAGAACAAAGCTCCAACCTCCCCGCGGATGCAGAACGAGCGACGATGATTTATTTCTCTTCCCCGGTAGATAAATCGGCCTCGGAAAACGGGTTGGTGCTAAATTACAATTTGCATGCGGTAATATATTTAAGCAACTTTCCTTCCACTTCGTTATGAAACAGGGTTTTTTTTTCTCGGGGGGTTTTTTCTGAGCTTGGCCCCGTTTCATTTATCTCCGGCGCGAGGGAGCTTTAATTGTCGGCGTGGAAATTAAAAACCACGGCGGGGAAAAAAAAAAAAAGGGAAAAAAAAAGAAAAAAAAATTAATAAAATAAAGGTGCTGGGTTTGTGGGTAGCCTGAGGAACCCCAGGTTGGAATCAAAATAATCACCCCGGCACAGGCGCAGGCTCTGGGCCTCGATAAAAATGATTAAAGGCAAAACCCGGGCGAAATCTCCACTCCACGGCCGCGTTTGGCTTCCAGCCGCTCTCCCCTCGTGCAGGCACCAGGGGCTGGGGGAGGCCGGTGGCCAGCGGGCCCCCCTCGTGCCAGGAGGGCAGGGCTGTTTCTCCCCGAGGATGGCAGGCGGGTTTTTACATTCGGTTCTCTAGCTTTATGATATCACATACACTCATACAGCTAGATAACCAAAGAGAAAAACCCGCCCAGGTCTCTACAACAACCACAACCACAACAACAACAACAACAACGGGCCTCGCGCCCCCGGGGGGGGGGTTTGGCTCCCACGCCGGAGCCCCCCGGGTGGCCACGAGCTGTGTGCCCTCGCTGCCAACAGCATGAAGGAGCCCCGAAGGTTTTTGGAGGGAGAGCAGGAATCGTCTCCGGCGCCTTGGGATGCAACGCACGCGACCCTCGGGTGCCCACCCGGGAGCCCCGACTCGACGTCGCGCCCCAAAAGGACCCGTGCCCCAAAACCGGCTCAGCCCCGCGCAGCCCCCCCCGGCCCCGGGGTCACGGCAGGGCAGGGTGTCCCCTCAGGATCCGTCCCTGCCGCCCGCGGCCCAGGGACCTGCCGCCTTCCCGGCCCCAAATTCGCCCCCGGCCCCAGCCGGGAGCCCATTCCCATTTTATAATTACTGGAAATTACTGGCACGGAACTGCTGAGTCATGAGAGCGGTTGGGGAAGGGACGGGTCCAACCGAAAGGGCCCCCCCGGAGGTTTCCACCGCGCCCCCGCGCTCTTCTCCTCTTCCTCCCCTTCCTCCCAGACCCGCTCCCGCCAGCCGGGCCCTGCAAACCCGGCAGGGACCCCGCGGATCCTGGGGGTCCGGGCCGTGAATCTGCCGGAGGGGGGGGTCTCCCTGAGCCCCTCCGGGATGGCCCCGTCCCCGCAGGGACTCTGCGCCCCGGCCGGGAGGCTCCGGGCACCGGCCCCGGGCACCGGCGGGGGATGTTCCGGGGATGTTCCCGAAGAGCTGCCCAAGGCGGGGGCTCCGGCCGTGCGGCCGCTCGGAGGGAAACTCGGCGGAGCGGCTGCCCCGGTCCCCAACGGGGGACGTGGGGAGGACGAGAGACTCGCGGAAGGGGTGCGAGGGAGGGGTCCCGGGGAGGGGGTACCTGCTCGCCCCGCCGGGGCCGGTGCTGCCCGCGGTCGCCGTCGGCTCCGGGTCGCCGCATCCTTCCCAGGCTGGCAGGGAGGGGAGGAGGCTCAGCCCGGGAAGGAGGATGGATCCCCCCGCCCTGTGCCGGTGCCCGCGCGGGTCCCGCTCCCGCTGCCCGGCGCCTCCGGGACCTGCTTCTAAAGTTGAGGCAGAGTCGTCGGCGGAGGGTTGGCTGGAGGGCGGGGGAGGGCGGGAGGAGGGACGGGGCGGCCGGCGGGGACAAAGCCCGAGCGGCGGGGCTGGGACAGCCCGGGCGTGGGGCCGGGGCAGGGGTCACCCCCCTCCCGGGGGGGGCAGCGCCATTCGCCACGGCCGCCGCTGTCCCCGGGGGCCGGTCCGTCTGCTCGCCCCGGGCCCCCCCGGACCAGCCTCCCGCAGCAGCCGGCCCGCCCCGTCGGGGAGGCGGCGGTGCCCCGGGGGTAACCCCGCTCGGGCAGGGCGGTGGCGGAGCCGCCCCCCCGGCAAAGCCTGGGGTTAAACCCCGTGTGCCGGGAGGAGGAGCGGCCGAGGGGAGGGAGGGAGGGGGGCCGGCTGGTCCCTCCCGTCGGTGCTGCGCTCACGGGCCTCTATGGCCGGGGGGGAATTTTGAAGATGCTCAGGAGTAAAACACGGCTGGAACTGCCCCCTATCCGGGCGGTAAAGAGGGTCCCCAGACGGGCCCGGCCTCGGCTGTGCCTCCCGGCCGGGAACACCCCCCCCCCCCGACCCGCGGCAAAGCGGGGCCGTGGCTCGGAGGGGCCGTGGGGCAGAACCCGGGGCGCGGGGCCGAGGTCCGGCTCCACGTCCCCCCCGTGCGGTCACCCGGGGCCGGTCCCCGCCGGCTCTGCCCGGTGCGGGGACCCCGCTCCGCTCTCCCGGTCAGGGGCGGAGGGCAACGGCCTTTCCCTGGCACCCCCCCCGCCGCCTCACCCCGGGAGCGTCCCGGAGGGCACAGCCGCGACCCCCGCGGGCGAGCAGCACCCAGTGGGGCCCTGGTACCCGTGCGCACACCCGGCAGCACCCAGAGGTGCCCCGCTCACCCCCCGGGGTACGCCTGGGAGCGCTCACACCCGCACTCGTCCTGCTGCCCGCACGGCCCCGCACAGGCACCTGTGAGCACCCGGACCCGCGCAGGACCCCCGAGACCTGTCCTCTGGCTCTCCGCAGCCTCCTCACACCCCCGGCCCCCCAGCTCGGCCCCGGTCCGGCGGGTTCCGCGGCCCTCCCGGGGCCGCTTCATCGCACCTCGCTCCGGTGAAACGGCGGAAAACGAAACCAAGAGGCGACCCGGGCATAGCACCGGCCCCGGGCAGCCCCGGGCACAGCACTGGTCTGTGCCCCGGCCGTGGGCAGCCCCAGGAGGGCTCCTCTTCCAGCGGGGACCGGGAGCAGCGGGTCGGGGTGAGCGGCGGGGCCCGGCTCCCGCTCGCAGCGCTCCGGGTTTTGGGGAGGAGGCACAGATCCGTCCCGGCCCCTGTTATAAACACCCGCCCTTTTATATATATATATATATATATGTGTGTGTGTGTATATATATATATATATACCCACCTATATATCGAGAACCTCTATAATATATAGGATATTTGCATTTGAAGGCGCCATTCACGGCGGTGCCTGCGGAGATGCCAACCCGCAAGCACCGGGGGCTCCCCGGGAGCAGCGGGGCTTTCTGCCCCTCACCGGGGATCCCCGGGGCTGGGGACCTTTTGGCAGGAGCCCCCCACCCTCAATCGGCTGCCGCAGCATCGCGTGGCGAGAGCGGAGCGTCCTCCCGCCGGCACCGGGCACCGGGGAGCGGGCACCGGCCCCGCCGCTCTCCGTGGTGCTGAACCGCCGCCGCGCCGCGCCCCGGGGCCGTGCGGGGTCGTGCCTCCTCCGTCCTTCCCTTACCGAGCCGCCACTGATTAATTATTATTATTATTATAATTATTATTATTGCCATTAATTATTACCGTTGCCACCCCCGCGGTTCCCGCCGCCCCGGTGCACCGCGGCGCGGCCGAACCACCGCGAGCGGGAAGATGGTGCCAGCGCGGCAACCGGTTGCCAAAATTAAAGGATCACCCACCCGCACGCCCCCGGTAGCTGCGGCCCGCCATCCTCGCCGGGGGTCCGCACCACGCGTGGGCCGAGCCGGTACCGTTACCTCCGAAACCGGGCTCCGAAATGCCTCCCTGCCCAGCCCCGGGTGGCCGCGGCCCCGGCGGGCTCGGCCCCGTTGCCGTCCACACCGCCCGGGGCACCACCGGGCCCGGCCCCGCTCCGCCGTCCCGGTGGGTTCTGCTGCCCGAGGCTCCTTCGCGGGCTGGCACGGCCGCGCTCCTTCCCCCGAAGGTAAAAACCCCAACAACGACCGCGGCCCCGGAGCTCCGCCGAGGGAACGAACGGGACCGGTGGAGCTTCGTGGCTGCCCCGGGAGCCGCCTTCGGCCCGGGCCCGGCTCTAGGAGGGGCCGCTTCGGGCACCGGGGGGGACCGGTGGCATCATCCCCGCCGGTCCCGCTCCCCGCCGCCCGCGGGCCCGGTAACCCCCGCGCAGGGCCCGGCAGGGCCGCAGCCGCCCGGTTCGCCCCCGCCGGCCGCCGGTGCCCGCTGCCCGCGCCTGCCCGTCCCCGAGGGGCGCGGGGGAAGCCTGGCATCGCCAAGGCGGGGAGGGCGGCCCGGCCCTCGCGTGTCCGCGGCGGGGGCTCCACGGGGCCCGCCCGGCCCCGCTCCTCCCGGCACTTACCGAGCCGTCGCCCGCCTGTACCCGCCGCCCCGGCGGCTGCGGGCGCTGGACCGGCCCCGGTGCCTCCGGTCCCCCCCTTTCTCCCCTCGCCTACACCCCCGTGTGAATCAAATGCCTTCACTAGAGCAGCCATGTTGGGCTCCGGTGCGAGCACGGCGCTCGCCGCAGGAACCGGCGGCCGCCTCGGCGGGAGGCAGCGCGGAGGGCTCGGCGCGGGGGCCCCGGGCCCCACCGGAGCAGCGGAGCCCCGTCAGCCCGGCCGGCCCCGGCCCCCCTGTCCCTTGGTACCGGGGGATGCGCCGGGTGCCGCTCCCCGCCCGCCCGGGAACTTCCCACCGTTACCGGCAACGTCGCCAACTGCGGGTCCCGCGCCTGCCCCGCATCCCTCCGGGAGAACCGGCCGCGTCCCGGGGCCGCCTTTGGGAAAGAGGAGGGGGAGAGCCGCCGTTACCTCCGCCTCGCCCGCTGTCCGGTCGCCGCGACGCCGCTCGGCCGAGCCCACCTGGGGAGGGAAAGAGAGAAGAAGAGGCGTCAGGAGGAGCCGCCGCCATCGCTCCAACTTGGAGCAACTTTCCCGGCGAGGCCGGCGGCGGGGGCGGGGGGTGGGCGGCGCTGGAGCCCCTGCCCGGTCAGCCGGGGCCGGTCCCGCCGGCGGGCAGGGCGTGGGGAGCCCCCCGGCCCGCGCCTTCCACGCGGGGAGTGGGGACCCCCGCCCGGCGCCCAGGGCCGAGGCGGGACACGGCCTCTGCTGCCGGGGACATCCAGGGCACCCCGGCGGAGGGGCAGCCCCGCACCTGGTGCCTGTCCGTCTGTCTGTCCGTCTGCCTCCACCGGGCGGGGGGCGGCCCATCTCCCCCGTGCCCTGGGCACCGGAGCCCCGCACCGGGCAGCCCCCGCCGCTCCCCGGGCACCGGAGCCTTTCGCCCGCCCGCCCGGCCCGGTGCCCCTCGAAAGCGGATTTTTCAGCTCTTTAATTTCCCTCCTTTTTTTTTTCCTCCTACCGAGATTTCCCCCCCACAGCCCCCCCCTCGCCTTTTTTCATTTTCTTTTCCCGCCTCATTTTTTTTGTTTAATTCTTTTTTTTTTTTTTTCCCCACCCTCGTTTGATTCCAACGTCGCCGGGAATTATTTGCATTTAAAACACAACGACTCGTTCCCCTCCACGTCGCTTCGCAGCTCAATTCAACCAGCACCGCAGGGGCGGGGGGGCGACCCCGAGGAAAAGGGGTCCCCAAATCGCCAGCCAAATTTACCCGAATTCCCGCCCAGCTGGAAATATCGATGTGGGCGAAAACTAAAGATACGTCAGATTTTAATGATTTTTTTTTTTTCTTTCTGCGGCCGCTGTCACCCAAAGGTGTTGTGGCAACAAAGAGCGGGATGGCATTTGACGCTCGCGTTTTTTGGCCTGTTCCCGTGCAAAAATGCTTCCCCAAAGCCCCGAACGCTTTGCGAAGATTGATCCGCCTCAAAACAATCGTATCCTGCCTTGCGAAGTGCTCCCAGAGAAAATCTGATTTCCCATTTATCCCCCCGTCGCTGCTAATCCCGTCGGAGGACACACAGCACGCGGCACCCGTTGAAACTGAGAGCGAGGAGAGGGACTGGAAATCAAACAACCGTTCCCAGCCCAAACTGGGAGCAAACGGTTTTCCCCCCTCCCCGCGCACGGCAGAGATTTCCCAGCTCGGGGAACAACGGCGTGGAATTCCCTGCCGTGCCCGCTCGGGCAGAGCCGGGCAGAGGAACAGTCACTTTTTATTTTTTTTTTTTGGAAGGGGGGAAATAATAATAATAATAATAATAAAACAAGATAATTAATTTTTTTTTTTTTTTGTCCTTCCTTTCTCCAGAAACGCCGAATTCAGTCCCGGCCCTTTGCGTGGGGAATTTTTTTTTTACTTCTTTTTTTCCTCCTTTTTTTTTTTTTTTTTTTTTTAACAGCTGGGATACAACAACCTCTCACACACGCAGAGCTGGGAGGGATGGAAGGGGATGCCCACGCAACATCTTCCCCCCGACACGGTACCCCTCTCCGTTTTCCCTACTATATTTTTCTTTTTTTCTTTTTTTTTTTTTTTTTTTCCCTCAATCCTTTCCCCCCTCAAAAAAAAAAAAAAAAAAAAAATAAAAATAGCTGCACACACCGAAACTTCGCTCCGGCAGCCCCTTACCTCGGGCACCGGGCAGGGCAGGGCAGTCGGTCCGACCGGCCCCGGGGCTATAAACCCCGGGGGTGGCTTTTGTGAGTTTGCCGGAGTTTCCCCGGGCTGTCCCCTTTTGTGTCCCATTGCCATCTAGAGGCCCCGATTAATTAATTTCACACCGGAGCTCGGGAGAAAATTTTCCCACAAAACAAGTGACCGAGGAGACGTGAAACCCCAAAGAAAAGGAGTCAACATCAAGTTCAACAGCATGCGGGGAAAAGGCCTATTTCCATCACAATCGCGTCTGAGCGGGGGCCGGGCGGGGGGCGGCGGGCGGCGGCCCCCGCGCCCCCTCCGCGCGTTCCCAGGCTCGGAACAATCGCGCTCTGTTTGCCTCGCACATGCCGGCGTTTGGGCACGGAGGCTGCCTTGGGATAACAGGAATAATGAGGGGAGGGGGGCTCGGGGGGAAGAGGGGGGAGCGCTGGAGGGGTGGGAAAGGGGCTGGAGGGTGGCGCGGGGAGCGCGTACCTGGGCACTGCCCGGCGCCCACCTGTTGATCCCCGGCCGGGAGCACCCGCTGGAGTTCGCGGGAAGAGCCGGGACGGGCGAGAGGGACGAGTCGGGCTCGACGGGGTCCCCAAAGCCAGGAGGGGACGGAACCGACCTCCGGGGTGGGGTGGGGACACTTTTGCCCAAGTTTGGTGCCCCCCCTCCCTCCCCCTTCCCGCCCCGCCAACCCCGGCCACGCGTTTTCCCACAGCCCCGGGGGAGCGGGGGGTGCGTGTCCCGGGGGAGCGGGGGGTGCGGGCCCCGGGGGAGCCGGGGGCCGGGGCCCGGGGTGGCCGAGGCGGTGGTGGACGTGTCCTGCAACCCAAGCAGCTCGGCTCCGCCGGGCATTGTCCCCACGGAGCCCGTGGCCATTGTTCCCGGCGCTGCGGGAGCCGGAGGGAGGGCAGCTTTCCACGCCTCGTCCGTCCCCCCCCCCTCCCCATCTCACCCCCACCCCGACGCTCACACCGGGGCTGCCGGGACCCTAATCCGGGATGGGGTGTGGGGGGGTGGGCAAACAACACCCCACCCACCCCCCCAAAAAAAAATAAGGCGAGGGAGGGGGAGGCGCGGGGTCCCCCCTCGAGGACTTCCTCCAAGTTGGGAGAAGCGGGAGGGGGAGCGGGGCGGCCGCCGGTGCCCGCACAGCCCTGCCCCTCCTGCGGGCAGCACCGGCAGCACCGGCAGCACCGGCGGCCGCCCCGGCCCGGCGAGTTCAGTGCGGGGCAGGGAGAGAGGGGGGGAAAAGAACAGCGACGAAAAAAAGGGGAGTGGGGGGGATTATTTACCTCCCTCCGCACATCTGCATCCATTAATGACTTAGCGACAGCGGGAGCCGAGAGCCGCCGGGACACCGGCAGCCTCCGGGGCGGGGACGGGGGGAACCGGCCCCGGCTGCGGGCAGGACGCGGGGCCCGGGGCCATCCAGGCGGTGCGGGAGCCGGGCTGCGGCTCCCGGAGAGGACCGGCCGGGAGCGGCAGGGCTGTGGGAAGCGGAGCCCCCCGCGATCACGTTGCCTTGTACGTGGGGTTAAACAGAGAACGTCTGCCCGGGGCTTTAACGCCAGGAACTCCCCCCCCCCCGAGGAACCGGGTAGCCCCGGCCCGCCGCCGCCGGGGCCTCGGGGTGGCGTAGGGTGGGCGGATTCCGCCCAAACATCCATTTTGTCCCTTTTGGAAATGGAGATGGGAGAGAGAGGAGGGAAAAAAAAAATGCGTCTTTTTTTTTTTTTTTTTTTCGCCTTTGCTTTCTCCATATTTTACTACGTAAGGAATGACGTCCTCACGTCGGGAGCGGGATAGGTTAGCCCTGCGCTGGTGGGGGGGGCACCGGGCTGGGGAGGGGGGGGGGGGGGAGGGGGGCCGCGGGGGCGGCTCTGGCAGCAGAACCTAAAAATAACGAGGATTTTATTATTTGAAAAAATATATATAATAATAATAGTAATCCCGGTGACCCCGCGGATGCGGCCCCGCGCGGGCAGCGGGTGGCGGGGACGAGTTCGGCCCCCCCTCCCTTCGCATCTTCTCCCTTCCCTGGGTGCTGCGGGACCCTCAGGGTTCGGGGCGCCCCAAGGGGTGATTTGACGGGGGGGGATTTGGGGGATCCTCCTGCCGTTACCCCCCTCCGGGGGCTGCCGGAGGGGCTGGGGCGGGGGTGCCCCGTTCCCGGCCGGTGCGGGATTATTCCGTGGAAATGAAGCAGAAATTGGCCATTTTTATTTAATTAAACCAAAAATGACCCCCTCCCGTCCCCCGCTCCGGGGGGGGGGGGTCAACAGCTACAAGCCCCGAAGCGGCCGGGAACGGATTCCCTCCCCCCTACACACACCCCCCACCCCGCCCTCGCTTCGCCACCGCACCCGGATTTTCGGAGCGCTAAAAATCGGTTGTTTCGCGCAGCGCTCGGAGGGGTTCGCGCCCCAAATTCGGCACCGGGGGGGGGGGGACGACACACACAAAGAGACGCACAACCCCCCGCAGACCCCCAGCCACCGAACGGGGCCGGGGTGGGCCGTGCCCGGCTCCAGCCGCCGGAGCGATGGGGACGCGGGGCCCCCGCCGCGGAGCCGGGACCGCACCGGTGCCGCCCCGGTGCCCCCCTAGCCCTGCCCGCCCCGGGTACGAGCAGCCCCCGGCCCGGCGCTGCCGGGGAGGCCGCCGGTTCGCCGCGCTCTGCCCTAATGAGCTCCGCTTATGCATTTCCTCATTAACGAATATTTCTCCCGGCCGGGCTGGGGGGCACAGGGATTCGCTGCCCCGGCCGCCCACCGCCCGTCCCGTCCAGCCGGGGCTTCAAGGGGGCTCGGTCGGGGCCTCCCAGCCCCGCGGGCTGCAGGAGGTCGGGCCTGCACGCCGGGCACCCCAAATCCTGCCGCCAGCCCTGGAATAACCGTGCCCGGCTGTGGGGTGCGACCCCCGCCCTCAGTGACGGTGAGACCCCCGCCTTGCCCGGGGACTTCCACCGGTAAAAGGCCCTTGGGTCGGGCCCGGGTCCTGCATCCCCCCGGTACCGGCGGGCGCGGTGCCCCCCACCCCCGAGGGGCACGGGTTTGGGGGGGGCGGATGGATGGGTGGCATATTTTGGCTCCCTGATACAGTTTTGATCAAAAATTCATTAAGAGGCGCTCGGCGCAGCGCCATCAATATTTCAGGGCTCTCGCAAAACAACAAAGTGGGTGTTTGGGGGAGAACGCACCGGGGGGGGGAAGGGAGGCAGCCCCCGGTGCCCGGCTCGGCCCCGGTTTGCTGCGGCGGGGCGGCCAGGAGGGACCGGACACCTCCGATCCGTCGGGGCCGCGGCCACTCGTCGCCACCCCCGGGGCTCGTTCCTGCCCCGTTATAAGGCGTGGAACAGCTCCCGGGAGCGGAGACCGGCCCCCGTCGGAGCGGGCGGCCCTGGCGGCCGGGTGGCTGCAGGGACAGGCGGTGCCCAGCCCCGGGGCCACCGCGACAGCCCGGAGCGTCCCCGGCCCTGCCCGCGGTCACGCGTGGCCGTGGGGCTCCGAGGGGACAGGCCCGGTGCTCTCCCGGCGGCGGCAGAGCCGAGGGGGCAGCGCAGGGAGCCGGGATGTGTCCCCTCGGTGGCACCGCCGCCCTGAGGGACACGGACCTTCAGCCCACACCCCCCCGGGCCGGGATCCGGGGCTGCTCCCCCGGGGTTCTGGGGAGGGGACAACGCCCCCGAAACCAACCCACCCGTCTTTCCCCAGCAAGGGAACACCCCGATTGCGAGGCGCACAGCCCCCCAAATCGGGGTGCACACCCTCGGCAGCAACATCCCCCCCCGCGCTGGGAGAGGGACCGGCACCGACCGGGAGACAAAGCCCCACCGGCCCCGCAGCCCCGAGCGCTGGAGCCCAGCACCCCCCCGGAGCAGCACAGACGCCCCCGTGCTGGCTCTGCAGGTAACTGGCCTTCACTGGGACAGCTCTCGGGCCACCTGGGAAGGGGACACGCAGCTACAGAGGTGGGGAGATGGCCCAGAGCCCTCCGCGGTGGGCCAGGACCCCGTGGGATGGACGGTGGGGGACACAGAGCGAACGCAGGTGCTCTGTCGCTTCCCAGTGTCACCCCGAGCACTGTCCACCCCCTCCCCACTAAACCTGGGGGTCCCTGGGTGCCACCTTTGGGTCCAGTGCGATGGGACACCCTCCCCTCCCCTGCGCTGGGGTCTCGGCAGGTGAGCAGCGACACGAGGCTGGGGGCAGAGGGGCCTCTGTGCAGCACCAAAGCGGGGCTGGGGGCACCCCAGGGCACCCCCCGACCCCAGTTCAGGACCTGTCGCAACGGGCGTTACTGGACCTGCAGGTGCCGGTGGCATTCGTGGCTCCGGTGGCTCCGGGTCTCCCGCTCTGCCCTCCGGGTCCCGCCGGCCATTCCCGTGTCCCGGTGGTGGGATGCGACGAGTCCCCCCTACCCCCCCGACAGCCCCGAGCCCCTCCCCGGGGCTCACCTCGCCCTGACATTTCCTGGCGCTCCTTCCATGCCAGCGGGTTGCCATAGCAAATCTAAATCTTACAAACAAAACGGGGAGAAAAGCCTTATTAGCATATATTCAAATGAGCCATGCAATAATGCAAACCATAAATCATGCAGTCATTGCTATTCAATCAGTGTCTCTTACCCCAGCCCCCACACTTTCACCGGGTGTCTCGCCTCCTCTTTCCGTGCAGAAGCCCCTTCCCAGTCCCAAGGGTGGCCCAGGAGGGGACCCACCATCCGGGGGGGGGCCCTGGGCCGAGCCCGGCCCCAGCCCTGGGCTGCCGGGGCTCCGCGCAGCCCCCTAATCCCGGCTGGTATTTATGTCGCTCTATTAAACGGGGCAAACTCTTCCCAGGATTAATCTCCCGCCCAGGTTTTAATCTCGGGGCTCGGCTCAGTAATCCCCCCCGCCGCGGGAAGGGGCCCAGCTCGGTGCTGGCGGTGTGCAGGGACCCCCACCCTCTGCCCCCACCTGATCCCGACCTGGGGGTGCCCGGACAGCGCTGGGGGGAACCCCCCACCCCCGGCAAACCCCCCTCCGGGGCGGGGGGCACCGCAGGACCCCGGTCCTCCCCTCCTCACTCACCCCCCAGCAGCGTGGCCGTGACCGTGGCTGTGCCCGGCAGGCCCCGGGGGATGATCCCCCACCCCAAAAAGCTGCAGAACCCCCATCCCCAGCCCAGCCCTGAGCTATAAGAGGCACAGCTCAGCCGGGCCGGTCCCACCCCTCCGCTTAACCCCCCCCTTGCCCCGCCGGTGCCGATCTTAAGGGCACAGAAGGGGTTTTTCCTCCTCCCACCCGCTCCCAGCGCCGGGCTGTGGCACTGAGACCCTCCGAGCAGCTTTTTGGGGTCACCGAGGGGTGTGGGCGGCACGGCTGGGCCGCGGGGACCTGGCCAGGCTGGGGGTGACCCGGCTGTCACCCACCTCGCTGGCTGGTGACCCTGGAGGGGTGGCTCTGAGCCCGGGGGACACGGGGGGGAGGACAGCAACGCTGAGACAAAGCGCCACGTCTCCCCCTGGGGACATTAAGGACCTGCCACCCCAGGGCACACGGCCTGTCCCCGAGAAGATCACAGCAGACACCCCGACACCCCCAGCTCTTTATTGGCGAGAAGATAATAATAATAAATAGAAAAGAGCCCCTGTGGGTGGGAGGGGGGGGGGCAGCACCCACCACCCCGGCCGCCCCCTCCCTTCTTTCCCCCCTCACCCCACCCTTCGCTGCGGGACCCCGGTAGCCCCCCCTGGGCGCAGGATTGGGCCGGGGGGGTTGCGGGGTCGGAGCTGCTGCCGGTGCTCTCAGTCCTGCTGCCACCGCGTGGCACTTCTCAGCCACTCCCGCTCGCTGGGGACACTCCGGCGCAGGGACGGGCGGGGACGGGCGGGGATGGGCACCGGGGGCAGCGCTCCTTGCCCCTGGGGGTCCCGGCCTCGCGGGGGTCCCGGGGGCAGCGCAGCGGGGAGGGGGGTCGGTGGCATGTGGGGGGCAGTGGAGTGGGGGGCCTGGACCCCGCCAGAAGCCCCCGTGGCACCGCTCGCGCTCTGCAAAGGGCACGGGGGGCTCTCCCCGAGGGCCTGAGGGTGGGGGCGAAGGGGGGGGTTGCTGCCCCCAAGCACTGCTTCCCCCGGCCCACCCCCCGCGCCCCCTCGGCCTCGCTATCTCTGCCAAACGTCCATGGGCTGCGCCCGCCGCGGGGGCACCGCGACCCTCTGCTCCTCCGCCGGCGGCCGGGGGGCACCGAGGGGGTAGGGGTACCCCTTGGCGTAGTCGTCCCGGGGCTGGAGGTCTCCGGGGCCTCGGGAGGCTTCGCTGAGGGACACCAGGCTGGCCAGGGAGGTCTGGGGGGTGCCCGAGGGGCAGCCCAGCCCCGGGGAGACCCGCTCCGACTTGATGCTGATGGCTGGGTGCTGCGGGGAGGAGCCGGGGGCCGGGGGAGGGTCTTCGGCAGAGACGATCCGGCTGCTGACCCTGGGGCGAGAGGGGAGGAGGGTGAGGCCGGGTCTCCCTGGATGCCCTGCCGGGGTGCGCAGGGTGGAGAAAGGCTGAGCTCACCCCTGCTTTTCATCGCTAGAGGGGCTGAGACCCCTCAAACTCGTGTCATGCCCCGGCTCTGGCCCAGCTGGGCACTGGGCGGGTGCCCATCCAGCTGCTGGGAGCCTGGTGTGTGACCGGGGGGGGGGCACATGGGGACCGGCTCCATGGGGAAATCCAGTTGGAAACAGGCTCTGCCAACAGCGGTGAGCTGGGAAGGAGTCCGGGGGGTGACCCTACACACCCCAGTTTTGGGGTGAAGCCGGACAGGCACCAGCATGGAGGGTGGGGGGCTGTGACTTGGGTGCTGGGAGGTGGCACCCCACGAGCAGACACTCCCCTGTCCCCCACCCTGCAGTCCCCCCGTCCTTACCCCAGAGCTGCCATGTCCCGGGGGTGCTGCCACGCCGGGGGGCCAGGCTGCAGGAACCCGGGGGGCGGCGGGACCTCGCCAGCCCCGAAATCTGCTGGGCAGGAGGACAGGAGTGAGCGGGATCCGGGGGAGAGGGATCCACAGGGAGGGGGGACGGGGAGGAGGATGTCGATGCTGTCCCAAGGCTGAGGGACCAGGACTCACCCGCCTGGGCTGGGCTGAGGAAGGGGAAGCCGGCGAGGCCGTGGCTCGGGATGCTGGAGCTGCCCGGGGCGAGGACGGGGCTCAGGGTCTGCAGGGCCGGGTACAGCGGCCGCTGTGGGAGCACGGGGGGAGCCCGTCGGGCTTTGTGCCGCCAGAGCCCTCGGGGGGGGTCTGTGATGCAGCGTCTCCCCCCACCCCGCGCCCTTCCTGCGCCCCCCAGCAAAGCCCCGGTGCTGGGGAAGGGGAACTGGGAGGAACTGGGTTTGGGGAGGGGACACCGCCGTGGCCCCGGGGACAGCCGGACTCACCGCGGTGCTGCCGCCGCCCCGGGCGCTCGTCAGGCTGCCCTGGGCTTCCCCGCGCCGGCCCTCGGCCCCCAGGTACAGCGGGGGGGGGGTCTTGGTGGCCAGGGCTCGGTTCAGGCCGCCCGCAGGGAACAGGGGGTAGCCGAGACCTGCAGGGACAGAGCGACAGGGGGATGCAGGGAGTGGCTCCAGGGGATGTGGGGACGGAGGGGGGATCCCCACGGGTGTGACAGTGGCCGCTCCGGTGCCCTCGTGGCCACATCCTCGTGGCCACATCCTCCGGGGCCACGGGCACAGCTGGGCTGTGGCCACGGGCTGTGACAAGAGGTGACACACGGAGGCGATGGCTGCACCCAACCCTGGTGCCAGCAGGCTGCCAACCCCCCCTTGGGACCCTGCCACGGGGAGCTCCCACACCTCAACCCCCCATGGAACAGCCAGGACCTCCCGAGGGGGGACGTCCAGCACCCCGAGGAGACAGATGGGGACGCTGCACCCCCACACCCCCCATCCACCCACCCGGGGCGGGGGGGTTTCCACTGGCCAAGGCCCAGCATCTCTTTTTTTTTCCATCAGCTTTTCCATCAGCCACCTGGGCCCGGAGGCCGCCAGGTCCCTGTCACCGCCGGGCAGGATGAGCCCCTCGTGCCGTGCTCGGGCTGTGGGTGCGGGGTGAGGGCCCAGCTGGGTGCTGGGTGCTGGGGGGGGGCAGGAAGCAGCTGGAGGGGGGCCCGGGGCCGGTGTTTCCACAGCTGGAGCTGCAGCAGCTCTCCCTGCCCACGCAGCCGCCCCGGCCCCGCGCCCGGTAAATCCCCGGGAGAGGCTGCGAGGGCAGCTTTGCATGCGGGGCCTGGCTGGGAAAACCCCCGTGGGGTCAGCGGGGTTGGGGTGCTCATGGCGGGGATGGGGTGCCCGTGGTGGGGATGAGGTGTCCATGGTGGGGTTGGGGTACCCATGGTGGGGTTGGGGTGTTCGTGGCAGGGATGGGGTGCCCATGGTGGGAATAGGGTGCTTGTGGTGGGGATGGGGTGCCCATGGTGGGAACAGGGTGCTCATGGCAGGAACAGGGTGCTCATGGTGGGGTTGGGATATCCATGGAAGGGAGGGGGTGCTCATGGTAGGGATGGGGTGACTGCGGTGGAAATAGGGTGCTCATGGTGTGGTTGGGATGCCCATGGTGGGATAGGATATCCATGGCAGGGATGGGGTGCCCATGGTGGGGATGGAGTACCCATGGTGGGGTTGGGGTGCCCACGGAAAGTATGGGGTGCCCATGGTGGGGTTGGGATATCCATGGCAGGGATGGGGTGCCCATGATAAGGATGTAGTGCCCATGGTGGGAACAGGGTGCCCACGGTGGGGATGGGGTGCTCATGGCAGGGGTGGGGTGCCTGTTGTGGGGGTGAGGTGCCTGCACCAAGGTCAGGGTGCCCATGGAAGGTACAGCGTTCCCGTGGCAGGGGGGGGGTACCCCTGGTGTGGACAGGGTGTCCCTGGTGTGGACAGGGTGTCCCTGGTGGGGATGGGGTGCCCACGGCAGGGATGTGGCACCCACGGCAGGGACCTCCTCCCCTACACCCCGCTCCCTGCAGCATCCCCAGCTGAAGGGTCCCAGCCTACCTGGGGGCAGCGGCCCCGGGGACCGTCCCGGGGGCTTCGGGGCTGCCGGTTTGAAGGCGGGGGAGCGACCCTGGCTCTGGGGGGAGCTGCTGGCACTGCCCAGGGACGTGTCCGTGGCCGGGGGGGAGCTGCCATAGGCGGCCTCGGGCAGCGGCACCGGGCTCTGCGGGGACAGACAGAGGTCAAGGACAGGGAGGGGACAGGGACTCTTTGGGGACCCCTGGGGACCCTCAGGGATGTGCAGAGAGAGGCAGAGGTCGAGGGAGGGGACCCTCGGAGCCCTGCAAGGCAAAAGAGAGGTCAAGGGAGGGGATGGGGACTCCCGGGGACCCTCAGGGCTGTGCAGGGCAAAGCAGAGGTCGAAGGAGGGGATGAGAACCTTGGGGACCCCTGGGACTCTCAGGTCAAAGGAGAGGTCAAGGACAGGGAGGGGATGGGGACTCTTGGGGACACTCAGGGCTCTGCAGGGCTGAGATCCCAGACAGGGGAGGGGATGGGGACTCTTGGGGGCACTCAGGGCTCTGCAGGGCTGAGATCCCAGACAGGGGAGGGGATGGGGACTCCTGGGGACATTCAGGACTCTGCAGGGCCAAGATCAAGGACAGGGAGGGAATGGGGACTCTTGGAGACACTCAGGGCTCTGCAAGGCCAGGATCAAGGACAAGAAGGGGATGGGGACTCTCGAGGTCCCTCAGAGCTCTGCAGGGCCGAGACCACACACATGGGAGAGGGGACGGGGTCTCTGGGGGTCCCTCACCCCCCCCCCCCAGCGACTCACGTAGAACCTGTTCCGTGCCACCGACAGGTCCACGCCCTCGCTCAGCCTCCTCCCCTTGTCCCCCGGCTCCGGGCCCTCGTCCAGCTCCAGCTCGTGGCTCTCCAGCCCCAGCCCCTTGCGCTTCAGCGTCTGGGGAGGGGGGGGATAGCAGGGCCATCAGGGGGGTCCTGCAGCCGCCCCGGCCCCCTCCCCGGGCCGCCCCTCCCAGGCCGGTACCTCGAGGATGTCGGAGTTGGTGCGGCTCTCGTGGGGCTCGCTGTACTCCGTGTACTTGAGCAGCACCTTGTCCATGTCGGTGCTGGCGTACTGGAAGAGCCGGTTGGTGCTGTTGAAGATGATGAGGGCGATCTCGCAGTCGCACAGCACGCTCAGCTCGTAGGCCTTCTTCATCAGCCCGAATTTCCGCTTGGTGAACGTCACCTTGGGGGGGGGGAAAACCGCGCTGGAGACCCCCAGACACGGCCCCACACCCTCCTCCTCCCGGGGACCCTCTGCAGGGCCCAGCACCCCCGAGGGTGGTGGGAGCACCCAGAGGTGTTGCCCCCCCCCGAAGCGGGTCCTACCTGCCGGTTCCGCTGGTCCAATATTCGGCTGATCTGTATTTTTTTACGGCCCATTTTCGCCTCCCGCGCCGGGTTTCGGGGCTGGAAGAGAGCGAGAAGCCCCTGAGCCCCCGCGGCCCCCAGGGCCGCCCCGAGCGAGCATCCCCGCCCCAGCACCGCCAAAAATTAGCTTTTTGCTGGAAAAAAAAAAAAAAAAAAAAAAAAAAAAAAAAAAAGAGAAAAAGAAAAAAAAAAAGGTTTTCGGAGGAAGTTTGGGTTTTGGGTTTTTTTTTTTTTTTTTTTGTTTTTGGTCTTGTCTTCCGCGAAGATGGCAGCAAACTGGAAAGTGGGGGGAAAAAATATAAATTGGGGAATTCTGATGGGGTAGAGGGGGAAAAATCCCCTCGGCCCTGCCCGGTCGCCCCGGCTCCATCACCCTGAGCACCTCTGGGTGTCGGCTGGAAACCCACGGCGCTGGGATGCCAAATCCTTCACCGGCAGCTCAGGATGAGACTTTCCATCCCTCTGCTCCCCCCTCAAGGCCGGGGGGGCTGCTCCGATGCTGCCCCTGACGCTGCTGACGACGGGTCCGTGGGACGGGGAGGGCGGATTTGAGGGTGGATTTAAGGGCGGGTGACGGGGAGGGTCCCTCCAACAAAGGGGCTGGTTTTGGGCTCCAGTCGGGGGATTTTTTTTTAAAATTTCTTTTTTTTTTATTTTTTTTTTCTCTCTAGCTCAGACTGACAGGCTAAATTTGACCTCCGCCATGCGCAGGCCAGGAAGTGGCTGCACGAGGAGACGGCAAAGCGAAACCACCCACCTCCCATGGCCACGTGAGCCCGCCCTGGGAAGGGCGAGGGGCCTGGAGACCCCACAGCCCCCCCTGCCTGGGGGGTGCCCGCACCCCTCAGAGCCTGGCATGGGGTTGTGACCCCACCGTGCCCCCCCTCTGCTGCCACACGGCCCCGACTCTCGCTCCTGTGCCGTCCCCCAGCCCCAGTCACCCCAAAACCCCTCTGGGATCCCCCCCAGTGCCTCTGGGGCAGAGCCACGGGGGGCATCAAGGCAATCCTAATGGGTGCCCCAGTTTGGGGGCAGACCCAGCCTGGCGCTGTCCCCACTGTCCCCAAGCCAGGGCCAAGTTGGGAAGCCAACAGGGCCGGGAACCCCGTGCTGGGGACAACCAGCACCCCGGGAACCCCAAACAGCCCGTCCCCAGGGCTGCACCCGGGGGGGCAGTTGGGGACCAGCCAACCCTTCGCTGCCCCGGTGCCCCCCGGGCCGGTCCCGCTTCCCCCCGTCTCGAGCCCGTTGCCATTTTACCGTCTGCTAAATTTAGCTGATCAAAACTAATTTTAATTTATGGAAGGAAATGGCGCTGCCGTTCCCACGGCCCCGCTGCCACCCTGTGTCCCGGGGCCCACGCAGGGCACCGGGGGCACGGGGGGTGCCCGGACCACCCCGGCCCCGCCGGAAAGAGCCGGCGGTTCCCGGCGGGAAGGGAGGAGGTTTTCCCAACCAGCTCCCGCTCTCCCGGCCCCGACACCTGTGCCACCACACCGAGGGCGTTCCCAGTAAATCCTGGGGCCACCCCGAGGGGACAGCTCTGGCTGCCCACCCCCAGCCCACGGGGTTCGGTTTGGGGTGCAGAAAGAGGGGCTGTTCCCCGGGGGGCTTGGGGTGCCAGCGGGGTCTGGCCTGTTTGGGGCAGGGGGTGCTCACCCAGCTGGGATTCCCCCCCATATCCCTGCTCTGCCTCACCCCAGGGGGGTTTTTAGGGCTCTGGGGTGCTGGGGATGGAAGGTGTGTCACCCACCTGCTGCCAAGGGTTTGTGTGGGGACAGTCCCCTCCTGGCTCTTTGGGTGCTGTGGTGCCCCAGTGTCCCATGGGGTGACTCTGTGGGGGTCCCAGGGGGGTCCCAGCACCCATGGGGTGAGGCTGTGGGGGTCCTGGAGGGTAGGAGCACCTATGGGGCAATACTGCAGTGGTCCCAGGGGGGTACCAGCACCCATAGGGTGACGCTGTGGGGGTCCTGGATGATACCAGCACCCACAAGGTGACTCTGTGGGGGTCCCAAGGGGGTCCCAGCACTCCCGAGGCGACTCTGTGGGGGTCCTGGATGGGGCCAGCACCCACAAGACAATACTCTGGTGGTCCCAGCCCAGCCCAGCAGCTGGGGAGGGGGAGTCCAGAGGAAGCAGCAGCCTCAGCACCGTGGGGCCAGGGGGGTGAGGGGCACCCACCACAGCCGGACCCCCGGTCAGCAGCGGCAGAGCCGGCGGAGGCCTCGTGCAACCCCCGGGGCGGTTTCATCAGCCCCACCCTGCCCACGAGGGCTCTGCTCCTCCCGGGGTGTCCCCTCAGCCACCCAGCCCACCCTGGCACCCCTGGGGACACCCACGGCCGGGCCACCACTGCCACCAGCACCGTGCCACGGGCAGGGGGCCCGCAGGGTGGGAGGGACACGCGGAGCCACGGCCACGCCAGTGTCACCACGGCCACCTCAGCATGTCACCACGGCCATGCCAGAGTGTCACCACAGCCCCCCCAGAGTGCCACCAAGGCCCCCCCAGAGTGTCACCACGGCCACGCCAGTGTCACCACGGCCCCCCCAGAGTGTCACCACGGCCACTCCAGTGTGTCACCATGGCCCCCCCAGTGTCACCATGGCCCCCCAGAGTGTTACCATGGTCACTCCAGAGTGTCACCACGGCCACCCCAGAGTGTCACTACGGCCACCCCAGTGTGTCACCACGGCCACCCCAGAGTGTCACCATGGCCACCCCGACAGGTACCAAGGGCTGGGAGGGGAGGGGGGGCTTTGACGCTGCGTTTTAAGGGTGATAAAGGGATGGGCAGCAATTCCTGACGGGCACAGGCTCTGCCTGGCATCGTCACCTCCAGCCCCTGGTACAGAGAGGTGGCACCCCCTGGGCCTGGAGGGGCTCTGAGTGTCCGTCTGTGTCCCCCAGGGCAAGAGCTGCCTCGTGTTTGGGGGGTGTTTCCGTCCTTCCTCCTTCCACACAGTCATCGTGGAACTGAGAAGCCCGTCCGTGGGACAGGGACAGCCCCGGGGGAGCAGCTCCGGGGAGGGGGTGACATCCAGGGAGGGCTCGTGGCCTCGAGCAGGAGGGAGAGGGGAGCCAGCCCTGGAGAGACCCCTCAGCTCCCCATCAGGGTGTCCCCACCAGGCCCCACGTCCCGCGGAGGCTCCTCGGGACGTCGCTGTGATGAGCGAACCACCCTCCAGCACCGTCATCCCGACAGAACCCACAGCTCTGGAGCCCTCGAAACCTTCCAGACAGGAGTCACTCTGCACTCCCTGTGCCAGGCAGAGGCCCTGGTGCTGCCTGGCACCCCGTCAGGCTCCGCTCCCTCCCACGCCAGCTTATCTTTAGCCCGGGCTCTGCTCGCTCGCACGCACCGGGCGCGGTCCCACAGCCCCTCAGCCCCCCCTGCCCGTGCCAGCGCCCACAGCGGGGTGTCACCCCGACCCCTGCGCTGCCACCACCTTTGTAATTAACACCCCGGGTCCTCTACACCTTTTGGGGTCATTTGCATCACGCCTGAGTGTGTAAACTCCCCATCCCAGCCCCTAATTAGTGCTCTGAGACCGAGCGAACCCCTGGAGAGGGGAGTGTTTTTCCGTGTGTGGTGTGGGATGCTCAGCACAATAACGGGAGTTCCCAGCACTGCCTTTGACACCTTTGTGTCCCTGAGTGATCCCAGGAGTGTTAAATCCACCAGATTTATCCTAAAATCAAAGCAGGTGGGTTATTAGGGGAGCGCTCAGGGGCAAAGCCTCTCCAGGGCCTGAGCACTCCCCTAATAACCCCAGGTCAGGATCTCTGAGCTCCCTGGTGATTCCTCCTCCCACGGGACACAGAAATTGGGGGGAAATGTTGTTTTCGCCAAATTATGGGGATTCAGTTGCAAACCTGAAAGCTGGGGGTGACTGGGTAGGAACAGGAAGGGGGGGGGGGAGACAGCGTGGTTATCAATTGCTGTCGGCATTTGTCAGCTCCCAAAAAGCGTCTTCTCGGAGAAAAATGAAGATTAAAGTGGGAAGAAAGATTTTCCATCCCATCTTTCACAGGGAGAAGCAGCTGGGTTTGGCAGGGAGGGGAAAATCCCAGAGGAGGGCAGGGCTGATGCTGCCTCGCTGGGACCGGGAGGGCAGCGGGGTCGGAGGAGCACAGGACACGGGTGGACACACAGTGCTGGGACCGGGGGGGGGCACATCCACCCCTGGCTGGTGCTGCCCTGCTCCCAGCCCTGGATCCCACAGATCCCCAGGGAATGGCAGGGCCGGTGTGAGCAGCATCCCAGCCCCGGAGCAGGGAACAGCCCGAGTAGAGCAGGGTTTGTGCCGGGGCTGTCAGGCCCTTCTGCTTTTTATAGGTTGTTTAGACAAGCGACCAGTACAAACCAGAGCGGGGCTGGCAGCGCTGGGAGGGGGGGTGGGAAGGCAGGAGGAAGGCTGGGAAGTAGGGGAAAGGAGAGGCTGGTGGGAAAGGGGTCCTGCGGGGGCTCAGGGACCACCAGCACCTCCACCGACCCCCTTCCCCAGGGCCCACAAAACCCCCGGGGGGGGGGGGAGTTCTAATTAATTGATTAGAATTGATTTACCCACCCCCGTCCCAGCACGCAGTCAGGGCCGGGTGACCCTCTGGAGCCAAATCCAGGTGTTGGCTGGGCTTGGAGGGACCCTCCAGCCTCAGCTCCGTCCTGCCAGGGGGTGACACAGAGCGAAAGTGCCACCAGTGCCCGGCGCTGCCACGGGCCGGTGCCGCCGGCAGAGCGCGATGGGCGGAGGCTTTTCGGTTCCAAAATGACTGTGTGGAAGCAGGAGGGATCGAAACACCCCCCCCACCACCAAAAAAGAGGCAGCTCTTCCCCTTGGGGAGAGAGAGACGGACGCACAGACCCCCCCTCCGGGCCTGCACCACCTTTTCTGCTCCGTGTTCACCAAGGGAAGGAACACGCGGTTCCCACAGGGTTGGGGAACGAGGGAGGGAATTAATATGGGGGATATTTGCTGCTGGAGGCTCTGCTGGGTGCAGCAAAGTGGCTCCTGGCTGGCCTGAGCCCACCCCTGTGGTATTAGGGCTGCATGGTTCCCAAACCTGGTTTGCCCCTCACAGTCCTGCTGCAATTCTGGTGAAGAGGAGGGAAATTCAGAGGGTCTTAAACGCACCAGTTCCCTCCCCCCAAATCCTTCCAGGCATTCCCACTGCAGCGTGGTATGCCAAGCTTTCCAGCTCCCTCACTGCCAGGATGCTTCTCCTGGGAGTCAGCAGGATCCCTGTCCCCTTGCAACACTCAGTTTTCCAAAGTTTCCCAAAACTTCTTTCCTTTTCATCAGTGCTCCGGGCTTGGAGATGAGCGGGAATGTCTGACATCCTAAATCAAACCTAGGCCTGCATGTCCCTCCCGGATCTCCCTTCCTTCCTGAGATCCGCAGGTCTTCCCACACGTGCCATGTCCAGCTGGCAGCCAGGGACATGGAAAAGGGCCAGGATCCGGCTCACCAGTTCGCCCACACTCCCTTCCCAACCGGCACCCGATGCCCCGAGGGACGTGGGGGCACCGTGGGGGCACAGCCCGTGGTCCTGGCCCTGCCTTCCTGCTCATCCACGTTAATTCCTTCCCTGTGAAACCCCAGAGCCAGCAGCTCTGGGAAACTTTCTCTCATTAAAGGAGTAAAGCCCCAGGGATGGGGCCGGGGATGTGCTGGCAATCGGCTGTGCCGGGCAGGAGGATCCAGCAGAGGATCCAGCAGAGGATCCACCTCGCCCTTCCCGGGCGATGGAGGGAGACCGGGACACTCTGGAGATGCCACGTGCTGGCAGGAGCCGTGTCCCATCCCCACCTGGGAGCGGGAAGGAGCCAGCGAGTGCTGGGAACAGCCAGAGCAGTGACAGCCCAGTTGTCACCAGGCCCTGGCGCCGCACCGGGGTGTCACCGCTGTCGCTGTCACACTCCCTGCACGTCGAGCCACCAGCCCCGCGGGGCCGTGCCTCAGTTTCCCCTCTCCACGGCGGGCTCAGCCCCAGCGCCCGAAGGGCCCGGTGGGCCCGGGGAGGCGGCGGCGGGGCCGGGGCAGGGCGGCTGCCATCCAGGCTGCACTTTTGGGTTAAACCCGGGCGTTCCTCCCTGCACAGACACGAGTAAAAATAACCGCCCCGAGCGCGGCGCAAACCACAGGCTTTTTATAGCCCGCCATCCCTAGACGGCGGGGCGGGGGCCGGGGCTCCGCCGTGCCCAGACCAGCCCGCCGGGCGCCGGTCCGGCCGCACCGGCCCCTCCTCGGGCCGGCCCCGCTCCCCCTGCCCGTGCGCCCCGACGGCGCGGCCGGGGGGATGCGGAGCAGCTCCCGGCAGGAACAGCGGGACGGAGCCGGGAATGGGGGGGACGCGGCTGCCTTTCTGTCCCCCGACTCCTCAGGACCGGCCACACCGGAGCCCTGGGGTGTGCGGGACCCCCCCCCCCCGGGGCGTGCGGGACCCTCCTCCCTCCCCGCCCGGGGACACCACGCACCGGGACAGCGGCTCGTCCTCCTCGGCAGCTCCGGACGCGCGTTCCCGGCGCTGCGGCGGAGCCGGGGCGGCCCCTCCAGTGCCGATCCCGGTCCCGATCCCGATCCCGGTCCCGGTCCCGGTCCCGGTCCCGATCCCGGTCCCGTGTCCCCGCAGCGCGCGCTGCCCGCCCGAGCCGCGCCGGCGATATTTGCATAACCCCGCCCACCCCCGCCGGACATTTGCATAGCGGCGCCGGGCCCGCTCGCCATTGGCGGAAGCCCGGGGGTTGGTTTGCATAACCACGCCCCCGCCTGGAAAAGGGGCGGGGCTACGGGGAAGGGGCGTGGCCAGTGAGGGTGGGGGGGTTTGGGGGGTCTGGGGTTGGGGTGACAGTGGGGGGGATTTGGGGTCTGGGATTGGGGTGACACCGTGGGGGGGATTTGGGGTCTGGGATGGGGGGGTTTGCACGGAAGAACGTGGGTGAGTTCGTAGGAATGTAGGGGGCCGGGATGGAGTGGTCTGGGGGGTCCCAGGGGATGCTGTGACCTCGAAGAGGGGTCCAGGTTCAGGCAGGGACTGAGGGGTTTGCAGCTCCGAAAGGACACGCCCAACTCACCCCCTTATTTTATTTATTAATGATATCAACGCCGTGACTGCCCTGGGGAGGGAGGGGGGGGTTTTGCCCCCTCCTCCTGCCCCCAGCCACGAGCGAGGCCACCCCGCAGCTGAACCGCAGCGACACGACCCGGGGGAGGCCGCGGGGAAGCGCCGGGGACACCGAGCGACACCGACCACACCAAAACCCAGCCCGGCGCCCGCTCCCTGCGGACCCCGACCCCTCGTGTGCCCCCTTCCCCGGCACGCGGGACATCCAGCACCGGGATTTCACGGCGCCGTCCCCAAGCCCAGCCCGGGGAAGGCGTCAGGAAACCGCTGGGCAGGCACCGGAGCTCGCTGAGCGCTCCAGGGGATGTGGGTGGTTGTGGATCCCGTGGCTCGGAGCCCGCGAGGACGCCCTGAGGTGACTCTGCAGAGCCAGGGGAGGGAGATGCTGCTGCGTCAAGCGGGGACAGACACACGGACAGCCCCGTGCCACAGACACACGGACAGCCTGGGGCTGACGGAAGGAGACGGTGGAGTCTGGGAGTCTGCGGGGCACGGAGGGGCCGGGCTGAGAAGGCGCTTTCCCCTGGACGGAGCAGAACCTGAGCTCAGGGGACGCTGCCGTGCCCTGGCCCCGAGTCTGGGCCCAAACCCGGCCTCAAAATCAGCCCCGGAGAAGGCACCGCCCAATCCACGCCCCCACTCGTGTCCTGTCCTTGCGCGACCTCTGCCTCGGCGGGGACAAAGCCACGGTGCGGCCACAGGGGTGACCGGGACCACCCCCCTCTGCTCTGCCCCCTTCCCGAGCCCGGGATCTGCTGGGTGGGTGCCGAGTGCCACGGGGTGGGTGCTGTGCCGGGGGTCCTGCTGCCTCCAGCCCCCCTGGGGAGGTGAAGAGCCGCCCCAGGAGCCGCTTGGCACAGGATTCCCGCAGGGAACACCCGTGTTTACAGCAGCCAGGGGGAACTGATGCAATTCCCGAGCTCCCGTTGCGGGAGCGGAGCGCCCGGGCAGCAGGTGGGAAGGGGGTTATCAGGGAATCCCTGATATCAGGGACATGCCCTTCCACCCTGGCCATACTGGGGACCCAGTGCCAGCCCCCAGCCCCGGGGGGGGGGGGTTGGGAGGTTGGAGGGATGGGGGCTCTCCGGATGCACTGGGGAACAGGACGTGGCATCTTTTCTCAGAGCTGCTTTTAAAGCTCGTGATTTACAGAGCGCAATTAGCAGGCTGGTAATTGGCCCAATCTTAATTGATCCTGAAGAGGAGGAGAGCAGAAGTGCCAGAGCACCGGCAAAGCCACGTCCTGGCGGCCGCGGGGTCCGAGGTGACACATCCAGCTGCCCATCCTGCCCCGGGACAGGGGGTGGGGACACACACGGTGACCCTTTGCCTGCCCGAGGTGTGGGACATCCCTGCCCCGTCCTTCTCCCTTCGTCTCGGGCTTCCCAGGGGTTTGGGCAAGGCAAGAGCCACTTCCAGCCGTGACAACTGAGCCCCTCTTTGGGCAAAGGGGCTGCCCGGAACCCCCCTTGAGAGACTTGAAAGCTTTGAGCTCCCTCTTGAGGCTCTTCCTGCCCCAAAATCCTGGGGTTTTGGGGAGCCTGAGCTGCCGGATGCCCTGGGATGAGACCTGCAGTGCTCTGCACCCCAGTGTAGGACACGGCTGAGCCCTGTCCCTCTCCCGGCCAGGGGGAAGGGACAGGGATGCTGCCAATGCTTTGGGGACTTTGGGGACACAGTCCCGGGGACTGACATCCCCCTCCAGGCAAAAATACGAGTGGGGCTGGAAAGGAGCCGGGAGCCAAACCCGAGCTGCTGCCAAGGGCAACACAGCAGCTTTCAAAATAGCCCCTGTCGGCTCCGGGAGCGGGGGGTGCCAGGGGAACCACCCACGCGGGACGGGAAGGCCGGGCCGGCACTGCCCCCGCGCCAGACGGAAAGGTCACCCCTTCCAGATCCCACAGTCAGGCCCGGGCACGGGCCCAGGCACTGCTGCCACCAGGATGGAGGGGGCTGTGTCACACCCGGTCCCCTGGCCCGGCCCTGGCAGGGTGCCCGGGATGTGCCCGGGAAGGCCAGACCCCGATGTCCCCCGGTGTCCCCTTGTCCCCCACGCGGGGGGAATTCCCGTGCCAGGGGGTGGGTTTGAGAGGGGAAACTCTCCCTCGGCTTCTCCACCGCTCCCGAGGCTCGGGGTCTTTCCCGAGGTAACAGGTGACCTGTGGAGTGAATTTTCCCCGAATTAATCCTGCTTTAATGCTCCCCGATTCCCAGGGGGCCCCGCTGGCAGGGCAGGTCCCAGAGGGGAAGGCGATTCTGCTTCCCAGGATATTTATAAGACATGGGAAACTCGTGGGGGCCCCAAGGGCCGGGGGCTGACGGCAGCGCAGAGCCCCGGGGGTCCTTTCCCAGCCTTCCGGACTGAGAACGTTTTGGGTGCTCCCCCCGGACCTGGAGAGGATTCTCCCCCTGCAGGTGGAGGCCAAAGGTGCCTCTCCTGGGGGGACGCGGGATGAGGGGACCGCGGTGGCCCCTTCCCACCACCCTCCCCCTTGTCCTCTCCTCTCTGGGACCGGGGTTGTGTCGCCGGGGGTCAATCCCGGGGTTTTCCCAGGAGCGGGACGGTCGGGGCTGGGAACGTGGAGAGCGAGGGGGAGCGGCAGGATGCTCTGCTCGGTGTCCGTCTGTCCCTCCCGCCGAGCCCAAAGGGGCTCCTCGGACCCTCCTCCATCGCCCTCCCGAGCCCCCCCTGCCCCGAGGAGGCTCCGGGGGCCCCGCCGGGGGCGGGCGGCGGGCGGAGCCGGCCCGGGGGGCGGAGGGGGGGGTCGGTCTGCGAGGGGAGGGCCCGGGGGCAGGACCGGCCCGGGGGCAGGACCGACCCGCCCCGGCGGCCACGGGCGGGGCAGGAAGGCGGCCGGGGGCGCTCCCGGCTCGGTGCCGCTTCCCGGTGCCCGTTATCAGTTCCCTTTCCCGCTCCCGGTGCCCGTTATCAGTTCCCTTTCCCGGTGCCCGGGATCCGGCGGCGGGAGCCCCGAGGAGTTGGGGAGCGCACGCACCGTCGGGTGGGACCCCCCCCGGAGCCCCCCCCGGTGCCCGGCCCCGCCATGGCCGGCGCTTACCGGGAGCGGGCCCTGACGGTGCTGCTGCTCTTCGGTGCCCTGTCCGCCGTCATGGCCCTGCTCTCCTCCAACCTCCTGCTGCAGCTCTCGCAGGAAGATAACTGGGAACTGCCGGGCTGGGCGAAGCGCCCGATGGAGGTGGCGGAGGCCACGCTGGCCGCGCTCTGCCTGATGCTCAACCTGAGCTGCCTCCTGCTCTGCCTCCTGCACGGCCACCTCGGCACCGAGCTGGGCCGGGGGCAGCCCGGGCACGACCGGTGAGGGCCGCGGGGGCACCCGCGGGGGGGTGGGAGGATGGGGGGGGTCGGGGTGCGCCGAGGGTTGGAAGGATGGGAGGGTTTGGGGAGTGGGAGGGTTTGGGGGCACAGGGTCTTGAGGGGATGGGAGGGTTTGGGAGCACCAGGGGATGGAAAGATGGGTGGGGTTGGGGGCACTGGAGGATGGAAGAAATGGGAGAGTTTGGGGGCATCAAGTGTTGGAAGGATTGGAGGGTTTGAGGGGCACAGGGGGTTGAGGGGATGGGAGGGTTTGAGGGGCAAGTTTGGGGGCATCAAGTGTTGGAAGGATGGGAGGGTTTGGGACACGGGCAGGCAGCTTTGCAGGCTGCCCGCGGGCAGGAGGTGCCGGCAGGATCCCCATCCCCTCGGGGGTCATTAGGGGACCCGCTCACGGCCCGGGGCCCTTTCCCACGTTGGGGCTGTCACACTGAATTACTCAGCGCTCCCTTACTCCGGGCCAGCTCCAAACAAAGTCCTTCCCCTCCCCGCTAATCCCTCCCGCCGCAGGTAATTAATTAATTAATAAAACAAAGCGGCCGCTCTTCCCCACCGGCCCCGAGAGCGGGAGCGGCTCCAGGGGCTGGAATCGGCCCCGGGCTGCAGGACACGGCCCAGGGGCTACAGCGAGGAGGGGAGGGGGCCACGCTGGGGGGAGAGGGACGGGGCAGAGCATCCTGGGCTGCTGAATTCCCCCCGTGGCTTCTGAGTTAATTCCCTGGTTGCTGAATCCACCCCTTGGCTTCTGAATTAATTCCTTGGCTGCTGAATTCACCCCTTGGATTCTGAATTCATTCCCTGGCTGCTGAATTCACCCCTTGTCTCTCCTGAACTCATCCCCATCGGGCCTTGGAAGCCCAGGAGGAGCCAGGCAGGAAAAGTTTAAAATTCCAAGTGATCTCCAAATCTCCTATTCCGGGGCAACAGGAAGAGGAAGAACACGAGCCCTGAGAGCTGCACAAGCTCAGCACATCCCGGGGCCGCGACCCAGCCCTGAACCTCTTTCTCTACCCAAAGCCAGGCTTTCCTTTGCTCAGCAGGGGTTGAGCACCAGCATTTCTCCTGTGCCAGGAGCCCTGGTGCTTCTCTGGGGTTTCAGTGTCCCTGTGCCCTGTTTTGCAGGGCTGACAGGTTCCTCCAGGACACCAGGAAGGTCCGTCACGCCGCCGTCGGCCTCTTCTGCTGCGGGATCTGCTGTTACCTCACAGGCAAGGGCTCCTCCCAGCTCCTGCACCCCGGGCTGGGCTCTGCTTGGGTTTGCAAAGGGCTTTGCCAGCTCATTCCTGGAGTGGGAACTTCCCCGGGTGCCCAGAGCTCACCACAGGCCTGAGCTTTGCAGGGGCTGGAGCGTGTCCGGAGAAGGGAATGGAGAAGGGGAGGGGGCTGGAGAGTCAGTGGGATGAGGAGGAGCTGAGGGAGCTGGGGGGGCTCAGCCTGGAGAAAAGGAGGATTGGGGGGACCTTCTCACTTTCTCCAACTCCCTGACAGGAGGGGGGAGCTGGGGGGGGGGCGTCGGGCTCTGCTCCCAGGGAACAAGGGACAGGACGAAAGAGCCCCAAGCTGTGCCAGGGGAGGGTCAGGCTGGACATCAGGAGGAATTTCTCCATGGAAAGGGTGCTCAGGCATTGCAAGGGAGGTTTGGAGTCCCCACCCCTGGAGGTGTCCAAGGAAGGACTGGAGGTGGCCCTCAGTGCTCCGGGCTGGGGGACAAGGAGGGAATGGGGCACAGGGTGGATCCATGAACTCTTTTCCAACCTCAGTGCTTCTGCAAAAGCATCCCTTCCTTCCCCCCGGCTCCTCACGGGGCTCCGTGCCCTCCTTTCCTTCCAGCTCTCGCCCTCCACGTGCTGAGGGTGTCGGCGCTGAGGGTCGGAATTCCCGCCGCCTGCGCGCTGTTCTCCGGGATCATCGCGCTGCTCGTCACGGTGACCCACACCCTGCTCCGGGCGCTCCGCCCGTCCCGGCACCGCCTCCCCGGAGCCTCTCCCGGCCCCTACGAGAACGGCGGCGACTCCTCCGACGGGGCCGAGCCGCGGGCCCGCCCCGACATCCACCGGAAATTTTCCTTCCCGGTTTTCCTGGAAAGCAGGGAGGGCTCGGGGCAGCCCCGCGCGCACAGGACGCTGTCGGCGGAGTCCGGGATGCTGCAGGCGCAGGGGAAAGCCTGGAATGTCATCCCGCCGGAGATGGGGGACGCGATGGCGAGAAAACCCCCGGGCAAGGACCTCACGCTGGTGTGAGGGCAAGGGGGGACCCTCTCCAGGCCTCGTCCCGGGGCAGCTGAAGGCGCCAGGGCTGGGATTTGCACCCCAGTTCGGAGCCCACACGGGGTCGGGGCTCGCCAAGCTGCTCCTCCCTCCCCCCCCTCCCCTCCTGCCTTGTGCCTTTTTGCTGCTTTTGCTGAATAAATCACCACTTCTGCTCGGAGCCAAAAGCCTCTGATCGTCTGCCTGGAGCCCCCCCCCAGCCAGGACCCTCCCCCTGGTTTTCCAGCCGCGGGGAAGGACGTGGGACGTGTGGGGGAGAAGCAGCAAGTGGAGCTGGTCCACCAGGAGATCGACCCTCCCTCCTTCTCCAGCACATCCCAGGCGGTTTGTCTGGCTGGTTGTACCTCCCTGCCCTTCCCCTGCCTCCTTCCCTCCCTCCTCCATCCTCGCCCCTACACCAGCTGAGCAGGGCTGGCTTTCCCTGGTGTTGGAATCTGAGGAAGGTGATGGAGGAGTGAGAAGGAACCAGAGGAGTCCCCAGGATGCCTTAAATATGTGTTTATGTGGATTTTAGGCATCACTCAGCCTGCACAGGGTGGGCTTGGCTGGCACAGAGGGGGGTCTGGGGTGACACTGCTCTGTTCCCTGTATCCTTGGCAGACTCCTCAGCAGGAGAATCCTGCTGGATCCAGGAGAGATGAACTCCAAAGATCCTCTTTCCAGTGACCCCCAGAGCTGTGAGCACAGCTCTGCTTCCCACTGCTCGACAGGGGATGAAGAAATCCCCCCCTTTTTTTTTGGTTTTGTTGGGTTTTAAAGAACAGGACAGTCCCTTTCCCCACTTGAAAGCCTCCAGCTCTGCACTGTTCTGCTCTGTGCCCTTTGGAACACGTGGAGCCAGGACCCCCCAGCCCGAGGGGGGGAAGGTTTGGAACAGAACTTTCTTCTTGGTTTTTTGGGGTTTTTTTTGTGTTTTGTTTTGGTTTTTCCTCTTCTTTTTATTATTGTTCTCATTAAAACCGAACCCAGCAACCCCCTGGCACACAGCCAGGAAAAGCTCTCCTTGCAGAATTCCTGCTGGACAGAGCTGGAGCGTGCCCACATTCCAGCCCTTCCACAACCACCTCCAAAACACTGAAAGCAAGGCCTGGTTTGGGGTTTTCTTTTGTTGTTTGTTTGTTGGGGGGTTTTTTTTGGCTTTTTTTCTTCTGAGACATTTCTGTGACCAAGAGGCAGAGGAAGAACTGGAAAGGACAAACCCAACCAGCCCCTCTCCCTTGGGCAGGTGCTGTGGAAGGGGACACGAGAGCACCTCCCAAAGGCAAGATTTTTCCACTCAGGGAAGGCCCAGAACCTTCTGGACTCTCTACCTGGGCAGCCCCACAGGTTGGGCAGGTTGTTCCTCGCTCCTTCCTGAGGCTGGAGAGCAGAGCTGGGCTGGAAAGGCAGCACAGGATGGTCTGGAGGAAATCAGGAGCTGGCTGGAGGATTCTTGGCTTGGGGGGCAACAGTGCTGCAAAAAGAAGGAGGGAGAGTCACGTCCAGCTGCCCTGAAATGTGAAAAATCAGGGCTTCTCTCCAATAAAACTCTCCTGCTGCCTGAGAGGGTCGTGTCCAGCAGGCAGGAAGGCCACCAGCTGCCATGACATGTGAGAAATCAGGGCTCCTCTCCAGTGAAACCCTCCTGGTGTTTGCAGGGGAGCAGCTGGGACAAGGACACCTTTGCCACACCAGCCCCTGGGGGGTGTCAGAGCCACCTCTGCACCCACAGCCCCCCAAAAACCAAATAAAAATGCTCTGGGAGGCCCAGAGTGTGACCCTGCCGGGCAGGAGCTGGGAGAAGGTGGATCCTGAACCAGGAATCTCGTGGCCTCTCTGCAGGGGCAGAGGGGGCTCTGTTTGCTGGGGTGGTTTGTCAGGGATTTGGGAATTTTCTCCCTCCTACTGCAGTGCCAACCCCGTTCTCAGGAGAGACAAACACGCCAGAGTCAGACAATCTGTTGCAGGATGTTTCAGTAGCTGGAGCTCAACTGCAAACACAGAAATGCATCATCCTCCTGCTGCCACTTATTTCTGAGGGATTCTGCCCCCAAAAAGACAGAAAACCGCCCCAAACCAGCCTCTCCCCACCCCTTGCAGCACCACCTCCCTCCAAACACCCTCGGGGCAGCAAAGACTTCCCACATTCCACACCCAAACCTCCCTTTCCCGAGGGGGGGGAAATCAACTCTCTCCCAGGGTTATTTTGCAATCCCACCGCTGAGGTAACTGCTCTGGAGAGTTCTCCCTAAAATCTTTAGGTCCCCCAGGGCTGCTGCAGGCTCTGGAGTGCCCTTTTCCATGGATACCTCTTGCCCTGGGCGGCGTGGAGCTGCTCCTTGGTGGCGATGGCGTGCCTGAGGAGGCTGTCGATGCTCTTGAAGTACACGGTGCTGTCAGTCATGTTCTTGATGGCACTGGGAGAGGGGGGGAAAACAGGGGGATGGAGGCACAGGGAATTGCCATTCCCGAGGGTTTCAAGTCCCACAGTCCCCCCCCCTCCCTGAGGGAGAGGATTGTTGAGAGGGGATCTCAGTTTTAACTTCGCACCCGGCGGGCGGATTCGCGGAGAGGTGGGAAGAGCTCAGAGCCCCGGAATTCCTGACAATTCCCGACATTTCCCAGCCCACACCCCCCCCTCCTGCTCATCCTGGCTCCCTGGGTGTGGATCCTGCTTTTGGTTATCCCCTCCCAGAGCTGCAGGGGCGAGCACAGGTACCTGCAGGCGTATTCCACGGTGTAAATGGCTCCCTGGCTCTGCTCCTCCCAGCTCTGCATGTCCGACTGGAAAAGGGGAATGGCAGGGTCAGGAAGGCACTGCCCAGGGTCAGGAAGGCACTGCCCACAGCCCTGCCAGCCCCTCCCAAAAAGGGCTGCTTCCCACTGGGAATGGGGCTCTCTGAAATCAGGGTTTCTGGAGTGTGTTTCTGGAAGGGCTGCTGCAGGAATTGGGATATTCCGGCCGAAATTCCCTGTGTTTGGAGGTGTTTTGGCCAGCTGGGAGTCACCCTCGGGCAGGGGGTGAGCTGAGCACTGAGCCCAATTCCCAGTGTTTGGAGCAGCACCCACCCACAGGGTGTTTGGCCCAGCTGGGATCCCAACTCCTGTGGAATTCAGCCCTTGGTCCTTCCTAAAAAAAAGTTAAAGAGGGAAAAGCTTTCCCAGCGCTCCAAGTTCAGGTTTCATCAGGTTTCTTTAGATTTGCCACTCCAATGTTCTCCCAGCCATGAATGTCCCATGAATGCTCCCACACTCCAGAGGCTGATCCCAAGCAGGAATCATCACCATCTCCTTCCTTTCCCAACTGGAATGAGCCCTGTAAACCTCCCACAAACTCGGCTCTGCGCCCGGCCAGGCCTGGCCCGGGATGGAATTGCACCCCCACAGCTCCCAAACAAAGGGAAAACCCAACAAATCCGGGAATGAGGGCTGAACTCGGGGGTGCAGCTCCACGGATAACGATTCCCAAAGTCCTGGAGGAGTTCCTGGGCGCTCCAGAGGGTGTTCTCACGGGAGCTCCTTCCCCAGGCCATCCTGCTGGAATAGCTGACACGCACCAGAGGGAATCCAGAGGCCTCTCCCGAGTGCAGGAGGTCAGGAAGGAGCCTGGACTTCATCCCAAACCCTTCCTGCTGCTCAAAGCCTGGAATGTGGAGCCCAGAGCCCGGGATACAAAAGGAACAAGCCCCTGCATGCCAGGGGCTCTCTGCAGGAGGGGGTCCTTCTGTGCCACTGGGAACAGGCCTGGGACCTGCTCCAGAGCCAGGGATTGTCCTGCAGCTCCTCCCCCTGCTCCTGGGCAGGGAGGGAAACAATTCCCTCAACTTCCCTCTGCCTGGGGCACATTCCCTGGAAACTGGGACCACTCTCACGGAAAGGAAGCAAGTGGCAGCTGAGGGATGAGATCCCAAGCCAATCCCCTTGGAATGTGCCTCGCCCCCACCTCCAGAGCCCTCCCACGGCGGCACTTCATAAATCACTGGATACTCCAGTGTCCCAATCCGGGGAAATTTGGGAAGCAGGGCATTTAAAGCCGAGGTGGAGAAGGGGCCCTGACAGTGCATCAGCACGGACAGGAGGCAGGGAGCCATTCCAGAGGCATCATTCCTAATGAATCCTGGCCGGCAGAGCAGGGCTGGCACTGAAGTGCTCCGGAGGAAAGACGGGATGGGCAGTTCATTATCCCGTGGTTCTCCCTCCCCTCCTCTCCTCCTGCTCCTCAATTTATGTGGGAAGGAAAAACCTCTCCCTGCAGGGCTTGTTTTGCTTCCCCTCCAGCTGCAGGATCGTGGTTGGGAATCCTGAGTTTTTGGCCTCAGGTGTGTGGATAAATCGGCAACGTTCCCTTTTCCTGTTCCAGGGGGATTCCCTCCTTCCTGTTCTCCCATGAAAATAGGGAGGGATTTAGATGATTCAGGGATGGAGCAGCTCTGCTGTGAGGAAAAGCTGGGAGAGCTGGGATTGTCCAGCCTGGAGAAGAGAAGCTTTGGGGTGACCTGATTGTGGCCTTCCAGGACCTGGAGGAGCTGACAGGAAAGATGGAGAGGGACTTTGGAAAAGGGATGGAATGACAGGATAATGGGGAATGGCTTCCCACTGCCAGAGGGAGGGTTGGATGGCATATTGGGAAGGAATTCCTCCCTGGCAGGGTGGGGAGGGGCTGGGATGGAATTCCCAGAGAAGCTGTGGCTGCCCCAGCCCTGGAAGTGCCCAAGGCCAGGCTGGAGCAGAGAAGCTCCGGGGAAACCTCAGAGCCCCTTCCAGGGCCTAAAGGGGCTCCAGGAGAACTCTGGACAAAGGCCTGGAGTGCCAGGAAAGGGGGAATGGCTTCCCAAGGACAGAGGGCAGGGTTGGGTGGGATTTTGGGGAGGAACCGACCTTGTGCTGGGCGAGCTCCGGGAGGGACCTGCGGACGTGCTCCTGCAGCCGGAACAGGGCCACCGAGGGCTCGTTGGCCAGCACGTACAGGCTCTCCGTGAACTTGTCTGTGACTGCAGGGAAACGTGGGATTAGGGAAAATCAGGAGCTCCAGGCCCTTGGGAAGGGTCCCCTGGCCTTGGTCCTGACACAGCAAGTGAGAGATCAGAGCAAAGCCCCACCCAACCCCTCCTGGAGACATTCCAGCCCCTCCTGGAGATATCTTAGTCCCTCCTGGAGACATCCCAACCTCTCCTGGAAACATCCCAGCCCCACCTGGAGATATCCCAACCCCTCCTGGAGACATCCCAACCCCTCCTGGAAACATCCCAACCTCTCTTGGAGATATCCCAGCCCCTCCTGGAGATATCCAACCCCTCCTGGAGATATCCCAGACCCTCCTGGAGACATCCCAACCCCTCCTGGAGACATCCAAACCCGTTCCCACCTTTCTTCACCTTCAGCTGCATCTCCGGCTCCTCCATCGCCGCCCGCCGCCACTTCCGCTTCCGCCGGCGCGCCCCCGAAACCGCCCCGGCCGCGCCCCGGCGGCGAAAAAGGCGCCGGGTGGAAACACGGCCGCGGAGACACCGTTCCGCTCAGCCCTTGAGGTGTGGGGGGGGTCCCCCCTTCCCCAAAACCGGGCGCCCCCCGGGCTCAGTGTCCCCAAACCAGCCCCTCCAGGGTCACATCGCGAGGAGGCCTCGGAGTTTCCCGGTTTGGCCGCCCCCGGGTCGGGCCGGGGCGCCCCCGCTGCCCCGAGCCAGCGCGGAGGGGAGATGGGGGTCTGGGGTGTGTGGGGTGTCACCCCCCCCCCGCCATCCCCCTCCTTCCCGGGGCTGCGACACCCTGGGGACCCCCCTGGACTCCCCCCGTGTCCCCTCACAGCCCCCCGTGGCGCTGTGGGTGTTTGGATACTCCCATTCCCGTGGGCTGGGGGCTGAATCCGCTGTCCGGGGCGGGATAAGGGATAAAGGGATAAAGGGGGGGAGTGTCCCCAGGATGTCCCCCACGTGTCCCCAAGGCCAGGGGGGTTGTCCCGCCGCCCCTCTGCCACCCTGTCCCCGCCATCCCTGTCGCTTTAAGGCCGCGTTCCCTCCCCCATCGTCAGCGGGCGGGTGGAGCCGGGACGGGACCCCCCGAAACCCCCCAAAATCCGCCCCCCCGGAGCCTTCCCGGGAACGGGGAACAAGGAGCGGAGACCGCGGTGAGGGGCTGGGGAGGAATACTGGGGAGGGGGAGTGGGGGTCCCCCTTCCCTGAGCTCCGGTGGGCGCTGGGATTTGGGGGGGGGGGGTAAGGGGGGGACCCCCAAATTGTGCCGCGGCTTGGGGGTCGCAAGGACTTGATGCTGGGGGGGGGTTGTGTCCCACATTTCCCCGCTTTTCCCCCGCTTTTCCCCTTCTTCCCAACACTTCCTTGCAGGTGTCCACCTCCCGAAGGTGAAGGAGCAGCTGGTGGGGGTCGCGGAGACCCCCCCGGGACCCCCCACCCCGAGCCACGGGGACGCCAAGGAAAAGGGCGAGAATTGGGGGGGAACGGGATGAAAACGAGGAAGAGGAGGAGGAGGAGGAGGAGCTGGAGGAGAGCAGGGATGCGGGGGACGGAGGGGATGGTGAGTCTGGGATGGAGGATGTGAGGATCCAGGATCCTGCCCCCCACTGTAAATCGGGATTCAGGGGATCAAAGTGCCCTCTGCCCTGGGGTGGGCACAGTGGGGTCCCTGCCGGGCTGGGAATCGTGGAGTATCCTGAGTGGGAAGGATGCATCAGGATCATCAGTCCAACCCCTGTGCGGGAACAGGACACCCCAACAATCCTAGCCCTGCACAGGGCACCCCAAAAATCCAGGCTCTGCACAGGACACCCCAACAATCCCTGTGGCTCTGCAGGGTGCCCCAGAGAACCCTGGCCCTACACAGGACACCCCAACAATCCCTGTCCCTGCACACGGCACCCCAGAGAACCCTGGCCCTACACAGGACACCCCAACAACCCCTGGCCCTGCACAGGGCACCCCAGAAATCCTGTCCTTGCCCAGGGCACCCCAACAATCCTGTCCCCCTCCCAGCTGTCCTGGAGCCCCCCTGGGCTCAGACACGTGGGGTGTGGGGTCCCCCAGGGTCCCTGAGAGCCGCCCTGGTTTGCAGGTGGAGCTGAGCCCCCCAGGAACCCCTCGCTGGACGCCCAGAGCAGCGCCGACCTGCCCGCCCTGGACGGTGAGTGTTGCAGAGCCAGAGGGAGACGGAGCTCCCGGGGTGCTCCCAGCCCGGCAGATCTGCTGGAGAACAGTCCCTGACTGCTGCCAGGCCCTCCCAAAGCCAGTCCCAGCTCCAGGTCCTCCCAAAGCCATTCCCAGCTCCAGGCCCTCCCAAAGCCATTCCCAGCTCCAGGCCCTCCCAAAGCCAGTCCCAGCCCCAGCCCTTGGCGCTGCCTCGTGCCAGCAGTGAGAGGTCGCTGCAGCTCCACGCAGTGGAACTGGAGCTGGGAAAGCCCTTCCACGGGCTTCCCTGGTTAAAAACTGCTCGAAGACGCGCTGGGATTTCCAAGTGGAGCCTCCCAAGGGCAGGAAATAGGAGGATGGACCTGAGTGCACATCTGCATTTATGCCCTTAATTCCAGGCCCCTGCTTCCTCCCTGGATGGATCCTGTCCCTCCTCAGGCAGCTCTTGGGGCTGGTTTATCACCCTGCTCAGCTCTTGGTGCCTGTGCACTGGTCAAACCTCATTCTCCAGAGTTTTTACTTGCAAGGGGTTGATCCCTGTTTTTGGAGGACTCGGTTTTTGCCAGGGAACAGCTTCGGATGAGGCCTGAGCTCTCAGGAAGCAGCTCCTCCCTGTGCACGGGGAATAAATGCAGAGAATGAAACCTGAATGAGTAGAGAATAAAAAAATAGAGAATAAAACCTGAATGAGTAGAGAATAAAAAAAAATAGAGAATAAAAGCTAAATGAATAGAGAATAAATAAATAGAGAATAAAAGCTAAATGAGTAGAGAATAAAAAAAGAGAATAAAAGGTAAATGAGTAGAGAATAAAAAAAGAGAATAAAAGCTAAATGAGTAGAGAATTAATAAATAGAGAATAAAAGCTAAATGAGTAAATAAATAGAGAATGAACCCTCTCTCCTCTCCCTGGACCAGGTTTCCCCCTGAAACACTCGAACACTCTGACCAACAGGCAACGAGGCAACGAGGTCTCAGCCCTGCCAGCCACGCTGGACAGTGAGTGCCACCAGGCAGAGGGTCACAGAGGGGGTGTGGAGGGGACAGAGGGACAGCAGGACACGGGGGACACCCTCTGTGTCGTGCTCTTCACACCACTGAGTGGCAGGAGGGAGGGATTTTTGGGACCACGGACTCACCTGCAGCTGGGGAAGGGTTTTGTCCCGGTGGGTGAATCCTTCCTCTCTCCCCCAGCACTGTCCATCCACCAACTTGCTGCCCAAGGGGAGCTCATCCAGCTGAAGGAGCACCTTCGGAAAGGTACGTGGCTCCCTCTCTCAGCCCAGGTCCTGCCAGGTCCTGGCTGGTGACTCCCACACCCCCAGCTCGCTTTTCATCCAGCCACAGGATCGGTAAGGTGGGAAAAGACCTCGAGGATCCTCGACTCCAGCCAGCTGAGGAGGTTCTGCTGGGTTTGCTGGGAGGACAGGGAGCAGAGGGGGCTTTGCCCTTCCCACCAGCGTCCCCCCGTGTCTGTGCAGGTGAGAACCTGGTGAACAAACCCGACGAGAGAGGCTTCACCCCCCTCATCTGGGCCGCCGCCTTCGGGGAGATCGAGACGGTCCGGCACCTGCTGGAGTGGGTAAGGCCTTATCCAGGCAGCCCCTGGATAACAGGGAGCTTCCCACCCCCAATCCCAGTGGCTCCCAAACTGTCCAGCACCGTCCTGGTGCCTCCTCAGCCAGGCTTTCCCTTGGCATCCAGCAGGAGCTGCCGGGTGCCCCTCGGGCGTGAGCTCGGCCAGGAGCACTCAGAGCCTCATTCCCCAGCCAGGAGGGGCTGTTTGTAATTAAATCTCTGCTCACTGCTCATCTGGGATCGGGTTTATCACCGGGGCCCTCCAATCTGTAGTTAAATCTCTGCTCACTGCTCATTTGGGATCGGGTTTATCACTGGGGCCCTCTGATCTGCCAGCAAATGTGCTCAGTGAGGTGTGGTGGCCGTTCAGGAGCCCGGGAGTGCCGGGTGTGCAGCCCAGGGGAGGGAGCAGGGACCACATCCCGCCCTCTGGAGGGGGCTGCTCCCACATCCTCCTGGATCCAAGGGCTGGGAAACACCCACAGCTCTGGGAAGCACCGACCAAGCTCTGCTCCTGTGTCAGCAGCAGGACAGAGGGACAAACAGAACCCCCATAAATGAGGTGATGCGTCTACAGAGGATCTGATGAAGGCCAGGAGGGGCCTGGGGCTGGCAGGGCTTGGAGGACAGGGAGGTTTTCCATGGGAATCAGTGCAAAAAAGACCCTGGATACTGTGCAGGCATCCAGACAGGCCAGGGATGCTGTCCCTGGTGACGCTGAGTGACAGGATCCATCAGGACACTGGAGAAGGGCTTTTTAGGCCTCACATGAGATGCTTGGTGATGATTAAAACACGCCCAGCAAGGATTTTGGCCAGGAGGGGTTTTTGGTTGGCTGGGAAGGTGTGAACCCCGTGCCCTGTGGGGACCTGGCTCCGGGATGAGCCCCCCAGGGTGTCCCAGGGCTCTGCCACCTGCCAGGACCAACCCCGGTGTCATTCCCAGGGGGCTGATCCCCACGCCCTGGCCAAGGAGAGGGAGAGTGCCCTGTCCCTGGCCAGCATGGGGGGATACACGGACATTGTCACCCTGCTGCTGGAGAGGAACGTGGACATCAACATCTACGACTGGGTGAGTGCCACCAGGGCCACCAGGGCCACCAGGACAGGCCTCCACAAAGCTCGTTTCCCATCCTTCCAGGCTGGTGCTTCCCAGGCTCCCAGCCTTGCTCCTGTGGTTGTTCCCATAAATTAACCAGGATAATCAGTTTAAATGGTTTTTTTTTTCCAGGAGGAAACCCCCCACGAGCAGAGGTTGGGGGGGTTTTTAACAGAGACACCCTTTGAAAGTTATTGTGTCGCACAGGGAAGAATAAAACCTGCAGGGAGCTGCTCTGGGAGGGAAGAGCAGCAGGGAGCTGGGAGAGGGTGGAAGGGGGATCCCAGCCTGGAGCTGGGAGAGGGTGGAAGGGGGATCCCTGTGAATCCCAGCCTGGAGCTGGGAGAGGATGGAGACTGCAGTGGGAGAGGGCAGAAGGGGGATCCCACCCAGAGCTGGGAGAGGGTGGAAGGAGGATCCCAACCTGGAGCTGGAAGAGGGTCCCAGTGGGAGGTGGGAGAGGGTGAGAGGGGGATCCCAGTGGTTCCCAACTCAGAACTGGGGGAAGGTGTAAGAGGGATCCCAGCGAGTCCCAGCCTGGGAAGCTGGGAAGAAGGGCAGGAGGGGGATCCCAGCCTGGAGGTTGGTAGGGGGTGGAAGGGGGATCCCAGCAGGTCGGGGCCTCCCTGTCTGGGAGGAGCAGGAGCTGTGGGAGCCCGGCAGTGACCGTCCCTGTCCCCCTGTCCCCAGAACGGCGGCACCCCCCTGCTCTACGCCGTGCGCGGGAACCACGTCAAGTGTGTGGAGGCCCTGCTGGGTAAGGGGAACCCCTGAGCCTGGAACTGCTGCTCCCCCGCCTCGGGAAGAGAGGGACACCCCCTGGGGGGGGTGCAGGGGCAGCTTTTGGGGGTCCCCTCACCCCCCCTGCCCTGCTCTCCACCCGCAGCTCACGGCGCTGACCTGACGGAGGAGGCGGATTCCGGCTACACCCCCATGGATCTGGCCGTGGCCCTGGGCCACAAGAAAGGCAGGTGTCCCCTCCCCTTCCCTCCCTGGAAAACCTCCAGGTGATTCCCAGCTTCCAGCGCTGCCTGGGGCTTGCTTTGACCTCCCCCTGCAGCCCTGCCACGCAGAGACATCAATCCAGGGAAATCGGATCCTCCTCGGGCTCCGCTTCCCAACCCTGGGGATAGGGCTGGGACTGGGGAGGGGGGGACAGGCCCCTGGAGAAGGGGGTTTTCCATCAGGAAACAGGAGCACAAGGGTGACCAGCTCCTTCCCACAGCAGCAGTGTCTCCTCACAGGCTTGGCTTCCCCAGGTGCCACCTCTCTCCCCCCCTTAGTCCAACAGGTCATCGAGAACCACATCCTGAAGCTGTTCCAGAACAAGGGGCTGGAGTGACACAGGGCTGGAGTGACACGGGGCTGGAGTGACACGGGGCTGCAGCCCCAGCTCTGCTCTGGGACCAGGAAACGGGCCATGGCACGATGCTGCAGGCAAGGGGCACATGGAGGAATCCGGGAATCCCTGCCCTCCATGGATCCACAGCTCTCCCAGGGGTGGCACAGCCCCGGTGCTCACACCCAGGGACGTTCATTCTTCAGGGCAGCTGCGTTTCTGCCCCATCCCAGGCTCAGCTGCTCTGTGTATTCCAGGATCACATTTTCGGAATTAAACCCTAAAGCAGCCCTGTGGAGCCCTGTGCATTGCCTTGGCCTGTCACAGCCCCTGTTCCCTCCCAGTCCCACTTACTGGGGAACCACGGGGGGAAACTGGGCCAACAACCCCCTGCCCCGACACCCCTGGTATCCTCTCCTATAAACCTGCCAAGCCTCCCCTGCACCCAGCCAGGGAAGCAGGGCATAGGAAGGAGGAAAATCCTGCAGGAAGCATCCCCCTGGCAGCCAGGAATGTGGGAATGTGGCACAGCCCTGGCATGCAGCCAGCCCGGGCAGAAGCCACCCCAAGGTGACAGACAGCCCATGGGGACACTCCTGAGGGGACACTCCTGAGGGGACACTCCTCCTCCCTCCTGCTCAAGCCAAACCCCCAAGGGCTCAGTCCTGGGGGGCCACTTCCCAAGGAGCAGCCAGGAGGGAGCAGGGACACCCTTTATTCATCTGGTTGCACACCCGAGTCCCACCCAGGGGATCCCACGGGGATCCTTTGGCAGTGGCCCTCCATCACTGCCATCCCCGGGGATGGAGGTTCCTTGGGGGGCAGCTGGGGCAGGTTTTCAGAGCCCCCCAGGGGCGGGGGCAGCCCCCCCAGTGTCCTACAGCCTCTCCCCCAGCACCCCCAGGTGATAGACCACGATCCTGCCAAAGAAGTCTGTGCTGTTCTCAAAGGTGATCTTCAGCCTGTCCAGCACCTTCTCCTCCACCTGGAACCTCTGCAGGGCCCGTGAAGGAATAAACCAGGAGTAGAACAGGAATAAAATAGGAATAGAACAGGAATAAAACAGGAATAGAACAGGAATAAAACAGGAATAGAACAGGCAGTGGGAGACCTGCTCCCGGTGGGCACCCCTGGGGTTCACAGCCAGGGTGCTCCAGCTCTGCTGAGCAGCTCTGGCAGTGGCAAAGCCCCACCAGGTTCCCAACTGTGCCCTCATCCCCCCGCCCCTCCACAGCCTCGGGGGGCTCCGAGCCCCCCCACCAAGGGGAGGGCCACACGTGGCAAAGGATATTTGCATGGCATGGCTGTCCTGGGGGTACAGCTCGGAGATTTTCACCAGCTCTTCACCTGCTCTGCAGCCTGTGGAGGATGAGGGGGGAGGTTCAGGTGCTGGGGAGCCCCCGGTGGCTGTCCCAAAATCCTCCCAGCACCCCGAGACCCCCCAGCTCCTCGCTGTCCACCCCGGGAGCTGCTCCAGCCCACGGCCTCAGCCCCTCCTGGCCTTTGGGAACGGCCAACAAATCCCTCTGGGCCTTCCCTTCCCCGCCTGCAGGACCCAGGTGTGGGTAAACCAAGGCAAGGGGACCGCCCAGGTACCCCCAAACCCCACCTTCCAGCGTGCACAGCCGGCTGGAAAATCCCCCCTGGAACTGGACCTGGAGCTGCGAGACCTTGACGGGGCGGGGGAAGTCCAGGGTGACCCACTGGCACGTGCCCTGGGGGCAGGAACGACACAGGGATGTCACAGGGAGGTCACAGAGGGGGCAGAGCGGGGCTCCTGTGCCACCCCCGTGGCTCCCCCGTCCCCGTGCCCCCAAACCTGGTCCGAGTTCCAGCAGGTCTCCTCGCTGGCGTCGAACATGTGCTGCTTCCCAAACTGCTTCACGTCCCGGTTCAGCACCGAGCTCACCCTGCAGGGACAGGGCAGGGGACAGGCTGGGGGCATGAGACCCTCCTGGGGCCTGGGGGCAGCGGGGGACACCCGGCAGGGACCTGGGGACACCTGGCAGGGACCAAGGGACACCCAGCAAGGACCTGGGGACACCCGGCGGGACCAAGGGACACCCGGCAGGGATCAGGGGACACCCCGCAGGGATCAGGGGACACCCGGCAGGGATCAGGGGACACCCGGCAGGGATCAGGGGACACCCGGCAGGGATCAGCACTCACCGCGTGGTTGTGTCAGCACAGACCAGGGGCTGCAGCGGCATCGCGGCCTGGGGAGAGACCCCGAGGGGAGGGGACATGGGACCCCTGGGCAGGACTGGGGACCCCTGGGCAGGATTGGGGACACTCTGGTAGCACTGGAGACTCCTGGGCAGGACTGGGGACACCTGGGCAGGACTGGGGACACTCTGGGAAGGACTGGGGACCTCTGGTCAGCACTGGGGACACTCTGGCAGCGTTGGGGACCCCTGGGCAGGATTGAGGACACTCTGGCAGCACTGGGGACCCCAGGGCAGGATTGGGGACCTCTGGGCAGCACTGGGGGCACTCTGGCAGCGTTGGGGACTCCTGGGCAGGAATGGAGACCCTCGGATAGTATTGGGGACCCTCAAGTACCACTGGGGACACACTGGCAGTGGTGAGGACCCCTGGGCAGGAAGGGAGACCCTCGGATTGCATTGGGGACCCCTGAGCAGCACTGGGGACCCCTGAGCTCCATTGGAGACAGCCAAAGCAGCACCGGGGACACCTCGGCAGGAATGGAGACCCTTGGATCGTACCGGGGACCCTCGGACAGCGATGGGGACCCTGGGACAGCATCGGGGACACCCGCACAGCGATGGGTACCCTCGGCAGCCCCGTCCCCCCGCCCGGAGCCGCCCCCACGCCCACCCCGTCCCGCCGGGCCATCCCCGCACTCACCGCCCGCCGCAGGAAGAGGCGGAGCCGCTTCCCCGTTCCCGGTGTCCGGTACCTCCCCCCTGCCCTCCTCCCGCTCCGCCCTCCCCGCTGCGGGGACCCCCCCGCGCCCCGCGGGGCAGCCCCGGGACCCCCAGTGTTCGCCTCGTCCATCCCGGCCCCGCGTGTCCTGGGGATCGGGGGGACCCCCCCACCCCGGTACAGGGGGTACTCGACGGGGGGCGCGGGGACCCTCCGGGGCAGCGCTGTAGGTGTGACCGGCAGCGGAGAGACCGAGAGGGAGGGAGGGAGTGCGGGGTGGGAGGGATGCCTGGATCCCGCATCCCTGCATATCCCTGCAACTGTGCACATCCCTGCATCCCTGCATATCCCTGCATCCCTGAATTCCTGCACATCTCTGCATCCCTGAGTCCCGCATCCCTGCACATCCCTGCATCCCTGCACATCCCTGCCTATCCCTGCAGATCCCTGCACATCCCTGCAGATCCCAGAACCCTTACTCGGCCCAGCAATCCTGCTCATCCCTGTATCCCTGCAGGGAGCACACACGTGTCAGCCAGCACACATGTGCCAGGGAGCACACACGTGTCATCCAGCACACACGTGTGTGCCCGAGCCTGCACACGTATGTCAACCAGCACACACGTTTCAGTGGGCACACACGTGTCAAGGAGCACACACATGTCAGGGAGCACACACGTGTGTGCCTGAACATGCCCACACATGCCAACCAGCACACACGTGTGTGCCCCAGCGTGCTCACTCACACGTGTGACACACACCAGCACACTCGTGACGGGCTCCGTCTCCCTCCTCCCTCCTCCCCTCCTTCCCCCGCCGGGAGTCGCCGGAGAAATTGGGTCAAAAACCGCAGGAGCCTCATTTGCCCCCGGGCTAATTGCGCGCCGGGGGACAGACAGGGCGACAGACAGGGGGACAGACAGCTCGGCCAGCTGGGCCACCTCCCGGCACTCCCTCCCCCCTCAGCCCAGCGCCCCCGGCCCCTCCAGCCCCGTGGGGAAGCGGGAGGCAGCGCATCATCCCCCGGATCGCGGGATCGCGGCCCGGGCCCCGCGTTGGCTGTCGAGGAACGCGCCGGGGCCGTGCCCGCGGGCTGGGCCGGCCTGGCATCGCCCCCGGCTCCCGGCTGCCGGCCAGCCCGGCCCTCCGCCGCCCGCCGGGGGGGCTTGGCCATTGATCCAGGAGCTGATGGACGGGCCGGTGCCAAAGGAGGCGCCGGCAGGGATCCAGACCCCCGCTCCCGGCGGGCTCCGGGCCGCAGGAAGTGGGTGCCGGCGCCCTTTGTGCGGCGGGTGCCGGCGTGTGGGGTTTGCTGAGCAGCCCCGGGAGCCGCTTCCGAAGAAGAAGCGGGTCTTGTGCCCCTTCACCATTAATTAATTAATCGCTTGTGCCGATTGAATTCCGCTTCCGCGAAAGCCCTGGAGATTCCCGGGGGGATGCGGCGCGGGCGGAATTCAGCGGCCGCGCTGCCGGCACAGGGCTCTGCCTGTTCTCCGGGATGGGCCTTTCTCATGGATAAACCCCCCCCCCCGAGCGGGGGAGTCGGGAGGTCCCGGGGGAGGGCGAGGGGGGGCAGGATTTGGCACAGCCCGATGTGGTTTGTGATTGATGCTGAATGACAATGTGGTGGCATCTCTGTGCCGGGGAAGGAGCCGGGCACGGCGGCGATGGGTGGGAGCCTCTGGAATGGGGTGGATACGGGATATAATCATAGTCACATTATTCCAACGCTGGTTTTAAGACGCGGGCTGACCTTTAGTCCCGAGGGGTGAGGGCAGGGGCTCGTGGCCGGGCTGTGGCAGTGCCGGTGTCCCCACGCCGGGGGTGCCGGGGATGTGGCACACGGGTGTGAGCAGCTGTGAGGGTGGGATGTGCCATTAACGAGCTCGGCTCTGCCACCGGGAGATGCTGCTCGGTGTCCCCACACGGGGGGGGCACAATTACCACCCTGGCTAATGAGCCAGCACGGCGTCCAGCCAGCCCTGCCGCTGATCATTGCTGCCGGCAGGGAGGGGCTGTCCTGGGGTCCCTCCTGTCCCGCGCCGGCCCCAAATCCCCCGCTGGCACCGCGGAGGGCACAGGGGTGAGCTGGTGGCACTGCCACCCCGGGGATGCCCAGGAGGGGCTGCGTCCCAGCCCGTGCCCCGGGAGCAGGGTGGGTGCTGCCGGAGGGCGAGGAGCGGGTCCGGCTGCCGGGAGGGGGAAGGGAAGGAGGCAGTTGCCATGGAAACAGAAAATAAAATCGATGCATCCTGCTGGTGGGTTCGGAGGGAAGTTGGGCCTGGGCAGGGCGGCATCCCTGCATCCCTGGTGGGGGGGTGGTTCTGCAGCCCTCGGCCCGGCCCCTGGGCTGCCATGCCCAGCTCGTGCCGTGGATCAGGTTTGGCCCCGGCCAGAAGCCGAAACAAGCCGGGACAGCGGGATGGGGGCAGCGTGGGATCCACGGTGGTGCCGGGATTCACCCTGTCCCCTCTGGAGCAGATCCGTGGCTGAGCAGATCTGAGCAGCTCCGTGGCTGCCCAACTCCAGAGCAGCCCCTCGGCCAGGCCAGGCGTGGAGCCACCTGTCCGTCCGTCCGTCTGTCCGTCTGCCCGCCCGCTGCCTGTCCCCGTGCCAGTGCCCCGAGCGCTGGCCCCAGCTGCGGTGGCAGAGGCCCCGTTAATGAGCTGCAATCCTGATGAATGTGGCAGCTCTCCTGGAACGGGCTTCATTAGCCGCCCTCGGACCTGAGCGGAATAACAAGCGGCTCCGTGGGGCGCGGGACGGGGACCCCCCTCCCTCTGTGAGCCCCCTACCCAGGGATGGGGAGCACACAGACACGCTCTGGCTGAGGGGGGGCTGCAGGGAGGGTCCCTGGCACCCGGGGGGCTCAGCACCCCCGGGGTGGCCGCGGTCACGCTGCTCAGCACCCCGGTCACGCCGCCGCCGCCCCGGCTACCAGACTGGGCAGCTCGGGAGGCTCCCGGGCCCCCCCCGCCCCCCAAACCGGCTCTGTCCCAGGGGCACGAGGGTGCTCAGCACCCGCTCGCACAGAGCCAACCCCTCAACCCTCCCCAGGACCCCGCACTGCCCCCGCACTGCCCCTTGGCCACGGCTCCCCTCTGTCTCCGCTCTGTTGTGGCTCCTGGGGGGAGCAAGACCCGGCTGAGACCTCTCAAACTCGTGTCACCTGTCTCCCGGCCCCTCTGCTGTCCCCTGGGTGGTTGGGGCCAAGCCAGGGCAGCGCTGGAGCCGTGGAGACCCCCCCAGCCCTGCTCTGGCGCTGGAGCCCAGCTGGGTCCCCCCGCGGGCTCTGGGGGTCCCTGCCCCTGGCAGCGGGAGCCCCCCCCCCACCATCATCACACCCCGACGGCCCCGCGGCCGCTCCCCACGTCCCTGTCACAACAAAGGAAAACATCTCTGGATGGAAACTGCGGGAGGGTCGTCACGGCAACACTGCTGCAGGATTTCACCAGAAAGCCGGGTTTGGGCTCAGAGAGACGCTCGGTCCCTGCCCGCACAGACACCGGGGCTGGGGCTGGGGGGGTGGGACAGAGGGATGGGGTCACCCCACCACCACTGCCCCGGGGCCACCCAGCCTGTCCCCAGCAGGGCTGGGGACGTGGGGCACGGCAGGGACCTGGTGATGGCAGGTGGTGCCTCGTGGGAGCAGCTCAGTGCTCCCGGGATGATGCCGCTGGATGTGGGGCTGGGGGTGTGGAAGGGACCCCAATCCAGGCAGGGATGGGGACGTGAGGACACCCCTCCGTGGCAGCAGAGCCGGCTCTCCCACCAGGTGAAGGTTTGGCCACGGTGGGATGTTGAGGCTCCAAGCTGGGCTCGGGGGAACGATGAGGCCCCGTGAAGTCCCCTCCCAGCCGGAGGGACCAGCCCGGGGGACGCTGGGGCTCCAAACTGCTGCCAGCGGAGGAGCTGGTCCCGGGCTGCATTCCCAGGCGCGGAGCAGCTGCTGGAGCGGGGGGAGAGGTGTCCATGAAATCCCCGTGCCGGGGCTGCGCTGGCTGGTGGCTGCTGTGACATTTATCTCCACTCGAGAGCGGAGCTCCGGTGACTCCCTGCCAGCACCTCCCTCTGCCACACAGACAGCCAGAGGCAGAGCCACCACCACGCTGCCCCTGCCAGGCCTAGCCAGGCTCTGTGGCCCCTGGGAGGTGCCCGGGTGGGTGCCCGGGGTCCCTCTGTTCCCCCTCCCCTGCCTCCAGCCCCTGGGCAGGTTTGAGGCCCCGAGCGGCTCCGGCTCCGCTTTTCCCGGGATCCTTCCGGGGTCAGGGTCGGGTGGGAGCAGCTGCATCCTTGGGGGTTGTCCTCGAGGGATGGTCCCTGGGAGGTGGGCGCAGGGGGACCCCACCTTCCCACTGGGAAGCAGTTGGGCTCCTGGAGGGACCCCTCTGACCCCTGATGCCTCATGTGGGTCAGACCCTGCCGGTGCTGTTGCTTTCCCAGGGTGAGGAGCAGGGGGGAGGGATTTGGGCTGTGGGTGCAGGGCCCAGCTGGGGTGAGGGGCAGCAGGAGCATCGTCACCCCAGAGGGTGTCCAGGCTTTTCCATGAGCAGAGTGAGAACCTCGGAGCCAGCCCCACCCCACAGCCCTGCCACCACCACTCCCCCTCCCTGAGCAGGGCAGCACCCTCCTCCCAACAACCCCAAAGGGCACCCCACAGGGTGCACCACCCCAAGGGTGCCCTTCCCAAAGCGAAACAGCAGGATCAGAGACCTGTGGGGTGCCCGGATTCACCAGGACAGGGAAGAAGCCGGGACTTCAGGGTTCAGGCAAACCCCCTGGGACCCTCTCCCCCGTT